TCTTTTTGTCCTTATCGTTAAAATGAAAAAATTCAAAAGTTTAGAATTAGAACATCGTATTGATCTTTCGATTTGTCTTTTTTTTGTTGTTATTCCATTTGCGCTAGTCTCAATTGAGCTCTGTGAGATAGTTGACACACAGAAATTGTGAATCGCTGGAGTTTGTGACATGTGTTTCGGATTCTAGTGATATTCTGCCTATTGTTTCAAATAATTTTTAATATGGAAAGAATGTTCGATAAAAACAGTTAACATCTATATTAAGCAACTTTTTGGATGAGTATAAAATAATTTTATTTTAAAATGTTTTCTTTCGCTACCTTATTTCTAAATAATTTGGATATACTTCATTCATTTTTTCAAAAATGATGGAAAAAAAATACGATACTTTTTGTTCAATAAGGACAACATTATTTTTCACTATTGGTTCACCATATTGAAAAGTCTTCTTTTCAAACAAAAACTGATGGTGGTGTAAATTTTATTCCTTTTTCACAATAAAACTTTTTAAAAAAAGCGATGCAGCGATTTTAACGAACCTATATTGATAATGAAAAGTACTCACCTTTTTTGTTTTCTATAAAATTAATTATTCAAAAATGAACTACTGTGAATTATATTTTATCTGCGTAAATTTGTTTGTGTGTTCTTGGACTTCTTTTGTCTTTCAATATTTAAGAATTACAGAGCCTACTAAACGACCACGTCTATCGTTCTTTCGTCTTCTATTTACTCTTTGTGATACCTTTATCTCAAGTTCTTGTGTAGTTTTATATAATATTTCACAGGTATACTTGTCCTTCAACTAGAGTATGTCTTATGTAAAACTTTTCATAGTTTATAATGATTAGGACAAAATTGTTTTGAGATAACGATCAAAAATTGTATGATTTATTTAGTAAGTCAAGAAAACATTCATCATATATAAGTAATCGCGTTTGATATGTTTTTTTACGTCACTTTAAAAACAAAAATGTTTTTCAATGAGAGATAGGTTAGCTTTTTATTGTCATTATTTATTGAGAATACTCAATAAAAGAAAATTTGAATTGAATCAATCAATTTTTGTCGCAATAGAAATTTGTCAAATGTCTGAATCGATTTAATCAATTATTCATACATTGAGCTTGTTACAAAAAGAAAAAGTTAGAAGAAAATCACAGTGTATCGCCGTTCCCAAAATTTCAACATAATGACGCTTTGATAGTACAGTTGCATATCTTGACTAAAACAAGAAATTAAATATTGTACAAAGAATCGACCATACAGAAGAACATGATTTACACTACATATCATGTTTTTCTTACGTTTTTTCAAAACAACTATCATAATTATTCATCATTTAATAAAAATATTGGAAAGAGACATCTGTCAATGACTGAAACAAACCATAGAGTTCTATCTGTTATGCTCTTTATGGTTTTCAATAAAAAAAGAACACATTTTTCTAATCCAAACATGTGGTTGTAAATAGGTACATTAAGAAGTCTTTGATGCTCGGCATAGGAAACAAAATTTTGTCATTTTCTTTTATCAAAGCTACTGCTCATTGATTTAGACATTTGTTACTTTCATTGTAACGGGAGTGCCAGGTATAATGGCCACACTTTGCATTTCAATTTTCATTCACTTAATATATCGTATAAAAAAACCAAAATCTATCATAAAATGCAGCGTGAAAAGCTCTACAATTTACACAGAAAAGCTTATTGTAATTTGTGTTCAAAAAAAGTAAAATTTAGTACAATCAATTTTCGCACGGTCGAAATTGGTTCGCTCAAAATTTTGCTCATTTTGAAGACTCAAAAGTCAAGTATAAAATGAATGCTCTCATGTATATTGTAGAGCTTTTGACGTTGCATTTTGTCATATATTTTGTTATTTAATACAATATATTAAGTGAATGATAATTGAAATGCAAAGTGCGGTCATTATACCTGGCGCACTCGTTGGATTATTGCACGATATACTAAAAATCAGCAAGGGTTTTCGATTGCCGAACTATTTGTTTATGTTTAGGATATTTGAAGAAGTCTTAGTCTAATCAAAACCTATATGTGACAACTAAGACTTCGTTTTCTTTCGAGTATAAAGTTGACAATGATATTGAAGTCGTAGACTAATTCTTCTTAACTGAAGCTTTCCCACGATTCAACTGAAATGTTTCACACTACACTTGAATTACATCTCTCACTCCCTTGTTTTTTTACACTTTAAACTATTATAACATACTTTTTTTCTCAGCCATAGATATATAGCAAGAAACTACAACATTCACTGTATCACATGATATATAAATCGTAAATGACGAGTAGAAATCAAACAGCAGAACATATATCAGAAAAAAAACATGAACAGTTTTTCAACAAAAATGTTACTTCAGTGATACTAATATTTTCATATTTACAGTATGCCAAAATAGCCATCATATCCACATATCCTTAAAGACCTAGAGACTGAAAAAAACACATAAAGGGTACGACACTTTTAAGTGGCTTGACTATTAGAAGATGCCTAAATTTACCATTATGTTCATTAAGCCTATTGTGACAAGTATAGTGATTATTGCCATTAAAAATTTCTCTCTACGTAACAAGTAAATGAATTTAGCGTCGTAGAAACTAATAGAAAACATGAGATTGAAGAATAGGAATCTTTGAATTTCACTTTAGTTATGCTAGAAAGTTTTTCTAGATAGTTCAAATTTTATTGTATTTTATACTTTTTGACCGTTTAAAAATTTCTTAGAAAAATGCATTCCATAGATTATCAAGATAGATTGGTAACTTCCAAAGCGACAGGCAACCATACTTATTTTAAGTTTTTTTATTTCTGTTTGTATTTTACTTAGAAACAATAGATCAGTACATAATATACCAGTAACTGCAATAAATGGAGAAGTCGCACGCATTCTGCATAAGACTTGGACTTTACATGTTTTCCATTGATCGCTAAACACATACAGAATTTGATGAAAACTGTGATAAATTCTAATCCTATCGCTTTAATCAAACGATCATCGTCACGCAACAAAGCTTTATGACCAGAACTATTTTCCAATACGTTTATAATTTTATGTAAAGTTGGTAAATCTTCAGCAAGCCGAAACTCAGCGCTATGCTCTAAAATAAAATGTATTATTTCGTAGTTTATGATTGTATCGATTCTTACCAAAAGCGCAACGAATTGAAATTTCGAAAGCTTCGCCTTTCTTCCTCTTCAGTGTTACTGTTCGATAATTCTTTGTTCTATATATATGTATTTGGTATCCAAGTAATTAAATAATAAAATGGAATATTCAATTGAAAAATATACAGCAATATTCATGTTTGACTTGCACAAGTAGACTGTATTATATTTGTAGAAAAATGATTTCAATCGATCTTCTTGCTGTCGTTATCTGTAATGGCAAGGCAAATTTTTTTAACAAGTGTGGTATTTTTTTATCTAGTTTTATAGTAAAACTGGCTATTGTTCTTTTGAAAAGAAAAGGATATTTACGTACAATCTAGAATACCCTTTAATTTTTGCCTACGGTTTAACAGAAAAAATCCGAAGTTTCAATAAACATCTCATTTGAGAATAAAAACTTTTATTTTCTTATTAATTAATCTGCTGAAGTTTTTGTGCGTAAACTATATGAAAATTGGATAGATTGTGTCTTATATATGATGAAACATATCTAATGTAAACACGAATCAAGTAAATTAATAAATATTCATTAATACCTTCATTTAGCGTATGGTTATCGACGATGAAAAGTAGTTTCCGATTGTGTGTATTTATTGTACACTACTTAAGCCATTCGCTTGAGGAGTCGAATTTCGATTAACTATGCGTTTCAGTATATAATTCGAGAGAAGTGATGCGTAGACTGATTAAGGTATACGGCAATCGGCTAAGCCGTCGCTGTCGCTAATGTTTTAATAGCCCAGTTGCGTCACTACCATTGCTGTAAATATTTTCTGGAAAAATTAGCCACCGTTATTGGAACATAAAAAAACAAATTATAGATTATTGAAAATTTTCGACATTTAGAATCAATATTCAAGATTGTCTTCACCTGTACATTCTCTTGTCATTATTCCCTTTCTTCTTCATTTCAACATTTTTTGAAACTAAGAAAATTTTTCGAAGAACATCAAGGACGTTCAGTCATTGCCGCTATGAATCAATGCATTGACTAGTAAAATTTTCGAATAAGTAATTTGCCAATGATATACTTTTAAAAAGTCATATTGTGCAACCTTATGCATCTTTACAATATATAGCTTCAAAAGAAAAGCAAATCAGAGCTTGATTTCTAAATGAAAGAATATATGCAACACTAAAGAGGAAGAAAAAAAACAAGTTTTATTGTATTGGCTTTAATGTATTAGAAGGCATGAATATGATATGATTCGTTCATATATGTATAATAATTTTGACAATTGTAGAGATGCATCTCGATTTAATTATGATGTCTCGAGACTCAAATAAAGCATTATGCTTATAAGATCATAAATTAGCTTTATAAAAAGCCTATAGAATTAATTATGAGAAGATATAGTAAGACTGCTAAAATGCAATTGAATCATCATTTAGTACATTTTTATCTTAATTATCATTATACTTGGACGACAGTTCAATATGTTTCAAATGTTGCTTAAATATGAAAAAATAAATCAATTATTCACTGGTAAATCAACAGAGCAAGTCAAATCGAGACTTTATAAGATTTAAGAAAGAAATTCAACAGTTGCTTATCGTAGTCAATTCGAAAAAAAACAAAGGTTTATCTATGATATATAAATGAAAAGTAATTATATTTCCGATATGCATTAAAACAATTTAAATATAAAGTTTTTACTATTCTCATGTTCTTACAGTTTGATCCAAAAAAAAATATCTCATAATACTCATGTTTTCAAAAAGAAAATTTTATATTAAATATGATTTTGATGGATAAACTTAATTTTTGATAAATAAGTATAGTGTGAAACAAAAGAAAAATTATATAATTAGTTTGGAACGAAAATAGCTTCAAGGCCTTGTTCGAGCACCCAACAAAGATCGTCCAAAGACAGAGCAATACAACCGTCAGTCGGTCCCATATCTGGACGTGCTACGTGAAGAAAAATAGCTGAACCTCGACCAGGTATTATTGGATCATCGTTATAACCGAGTATACCAATTATATCATACAATCGATTTTCTAACCATAATCTTTCATGACTAGCAGGATGTGGCAGACGAATTTGATGGTTGTAGTCTGGGTGTGTGGCATCATCACACCAACCATCATTTTCAGTAAGTGGTTCACATTTAAGGAAAGTATTAGGTGGATCAAGACGATCAGAACGATATAATACGCGTCGTAAAGGTAGAAAACCTGATGGAGTATTTCCATCACCTTCACGTTTATCTGCATGCACACCACTTCTACCAATAGCAGCCGGCAGATGACGACCAGCAAAGTGCAATATAGCAGAAGATCCAGAGATAACTTCCAATTCAGCTAGTTTGCTGTTTTTATCACTATTCTTTTGATGACTAGTGGTCATTTTTTCTTGTTCTCTACAATCAATTATACTAAAATCTGAAGTTGACAAAGTAAATAAGTTGAATAATATCATTGGAGTAAGTGTTTTATTACACACAATATTTGGAGAAAAACAAGGTCGAGTGTCGATGGTTTTTTTTTCATATACAAATGAATGAGTAATGATAGACCATTAGATAAAAAAAGTGTTATACCTGCATTTTCATTTCGTCATAAATCGTGACAAAACAGAACAGAATAACTTGTGATATAAAGGTAAAGAAAAACAACCGAATGAAAAAAAATGAAATAGAATCGGTGGTACATTGAGCGTAGGACTTTTCTCACACGTTATAATATATGTTGAATATGAAGGTAAAACGAAACAAATGACTATAGAATATAGATAGTAATATGATGTGTTCTAGATTTGCTGAATGACTAAAACGAATAAGTTGTAATCATATACTATTGATATTCTTAATATAATTTATTTTTTGAGACAACAACTGAGAAGTAGTTGTATCAAAATTTAAACTTTTCCTCAGAATCCATACATCAGAAGAGTAAAAGACGAAAAATGAAAGCCGTTATTTATTATATCATCAGTGATTATTAATTAATATCAGCATCAAACGTAATGAATACATGTTTCTTTTGAGTTATTATCTTACAATGCATTAAAACATTTCATCGGAAGGCAATGTCTTAAAACTTTCGAGAGATGGTAAGAAAATATATGTTATATTTGAGGCTATCCAGAAAAAAAGCTTATGCCAGTGACACACTGATTTTTTGCTTTCTTGTTTTTTTGTGCTGCAATAAAATTTATCATTTCGCAATATTCGAAAAACGTTACAAATGATTACTATGAATGAGAATAAGATTCAATGTAACATACCATGATAAGAATATGCGTTTTTTCGTATAGACCATTTAGAGTATGATTAATGTGCATTTGACTAAGCTTATGATCTTTATGTCAATAAATAAGTCAAGTTCGAAAAAAAAACAAATGTATTAAGTCATAGACAATATTGAATTATTTTGTCATGATGATAAACAATTCGAAAACAATTTCAATGATTGACAATAGAAATGCAACACATACCATTTCGATACGTAATGATTGTGGTGGTTGTAGAGTATCAATAGACAGTATTATCTATCTATTTGAATAGAATTGATATTTAGATTTTATTTCGATTGAATTTAATACGTTTGATATAGATCGAAGTTACTCATATCGTTGTTCATATGCCAAGTAATATCTATTTCCCAAGTCCTAAGGCATAGCACACAAAATATTATTATCATAAAAGACCAATACCATCTGTTATCATTCAACCACTTGTTTTTAGGATATTATGATATATTCATCATATTTTGATTTACCTGTAGAAGTTACTGAGTTGTCAGCAATGCATTATCTTCTTATCATAGGACTAAGTGATAGTTGAAATGACACGCTTCGAGATTTCATTTCGTTGAATTTTATCTTCAATGAAGATATTATTAAGTTTTCACAAGCTTGCTTTATTCTACTCATTGTTCTCAAAATCAAATATGAACAGTGTGAAAGAGTACGAGATAGAATCGAACGTTGGTGTATTTAGACTTTCATCAACTGATTTATTGCGAATAGTCTATGTCAAAATCAACTTGCTACATTAGGTGCGGTTATTGAAGAAATATTATTAAGATAATCGTTTAAAGATGTCGATTAGTTGATAATAAAGAAGTGTTCATATTATAACAATAATAATCTATATATATGAAATCATCTTGATTGATGTTGTAATTGAGAAGATTTAATAAATGTTGAAGGAGAAGTTCATATTCATGCCACAAAGAGACAAAATGGCATCATGATACGTTAGATACGTATTTTCAAACTATAACTAAACTTCTTGTGTTGCTTTTGTTTTTTCTGTAAGTACAGACTTGAAACAAAAGTCTATCAAACGAAGCATTATAATCTCACTTACGTATGTAATTTATAATTTAATTTGACTTCATTCAATATACTACTAATGAAGGAAGGTGGCAAGAAAACATTTTATCATCCATAGATTTGGTATCAACAACATTCGCAAACGAGAACAAAATTTTCTATTTTAGATTAATAAGATTTTGGCCAAAGCGCATACTGAAAGGTGTCGATGACAGTATCTGTAAAACAGAGGAGAAGACCTGCAACTTACAAACGGGAACCGAACTGCCACCTATCTGAAATAGTTTGTTATATTATCAATTAGTTCAACTTTAGTTTTTCTGCATGTCATCTATTAATGTTTTCAAATGATGAAATTTTATTTATGCGTACGTTATTCAGATGGAAATAATTAATATAATAAAAGAAAACAATTAAACTATTTCTAGAACATGATCTTATTTCGTACGAGGTCGTACACTGCTTTTTTGTACTTGATATTGCCAAAGACAAAGAAATGGAAATAAGAATAATTCAACAAGAGTGATCACCATTGTACTAATATCAAAACCTAAAGTTATTAGACCCCATAACCGTCCTAATCCACCAATAAATATAAGTAAAGAAACACGACGTAAGTCACTTGCATCTCGATCAATAGTCGGTAAACTACGTAATAAAAGTAATCCAATGGCAACAGGTAAACCGGATAAATAACGAAAATGACTATCAACCGAAAGAGGATAATTATAACCTTCTGCTAACATATTTGGACCACGGAATATACCTTGTAAACCAACAAAAAGCGGGATTATTGCAAGAAGACCAATGACAATCTGTAGAGCCAAACGTTGATTTGTTTTCGCCATTTATTTACTGTAAGACAACAGAAAATATTTAGAACTGATAAATGAAGAAAGTCATATCGTATCTTTTTTATTCATATCTTTATAGATGTATGTTTCATCGAAATATCTTTTGCTGGCAAACAAAAAATAAGAGAGAATGAATTATTATTATTCGACAATGATATATTAATTTATTTTTCTTAATGAATCAACAGTTTTGAATATTGTTTTATTTTCATATTGAAATAAACAATCAGTAGTACTACACATGACTTATATTTTGAATCATCAATTTAATATTATATATCGTAAAGTGTAAAATCGAGAAGAACTTCATCTGTTACTTTTTTTTTCTTATCAATATTTATTTAGTATCTAGCTGGGTAATAAACATAATCTATAGTACGATACATGTAAAGAAATTCTTTCTCTTTTTGAATGATGAAATAATTATATTAAAAGCAATTTATTACATTTGTCAATATCTGATAAAACATCAAAAAAAGTTCGTATTGTTAGAAAGCGTGCTCAAATTCAAACAAATAAACTTCAATGTCAACGTTTATCTTTACGTATTGATCAATTAATTGATCCACTTGAACGTTTAGAACATGCATCTTTAATATTTGTACGACAAGGCAACACGTTCTATTCTTAATAATCTTCTTCAATGTCTTCATGATTGTAATAATTTTATCGAAAAATTAACATCTTCTACACGATAGTATGAAGAAATTCATGAACATGAAAATGATTATGAAAAATTTGAAAAATTAAATAAACGTTTATCACAATTAGGACAAGATTTATGTCTTGAATTAAATATACAAGAATTATTTGATCAAAAACAAAATCGAAAAGATCAACAACAAGATTTACAAGAATGAAATAAAATTTTAAGTCAAATGTCAAAACAACATCAAGAACAATATAAACAAATTGATAAAATAATACATCACTTAGAATCATTTCATTTTGATTTAGAACAAAAATTTTTAAATCAATCAGATTCAAATCAAGAAAAAACCAGAGTTTAATGAACAAAATGAATTTTTACATATTCCATTAAAAGATTTATCAATAAAAGAAAAACCTATTGGTCATGAAGGATTTGCTGTGATGTTTATAAAGGTATTTGATTGACACATCATGATCAAGTTGCTATTAAAGTTTTACGTATAAATGATTTATTAAGTAATTCAAAATCACAAATTCAAAACGGATTTCTATCAAGAAATATCTATGATGTATAAAATACGTTATGAACATGTTGTAATAGTTTTTGGTGCATGTATTGAACCAATTTTTAATGCAATTATTATGGAATATATGTCATTAGGTTCATTATATGATGTTTTACATAAACAAAACGATAATATAACTTTAACTTGGTTAGATCGATATTCATTAAGTTGGCAAATGGCAAAATCAATAAATTACTTACATAATCTTAATCCATGTATAATTCATCGTGATATAAAATCAATGAATCATTAAATGGATGTCAACAACATAGATTTTTATTAAAAGTATGTGATTTTGGTTTAGCAGATATTCATCCTGAAAATTTATTAAAATAAATAAACAATTCTATATCATCTCAAAAGGTTGGTTCATTAGCATGGAAAACACCAGAATTATTAATATCACATCAAGAACATACGAAAAAAACAGATATATATAATCTTGGAATAACAATGTGGGAATTAGCAACTGGATTAAAACCATGGAATGAATATGTTGATGAAACAGTGATAGAAGTTCTTATTAAAATAGAAGAACGATCAAAAATTCCATTAGATATACCTGAAGAATATAAACAAGCAATAGAAGATTCTTGGAATCAAGATCCATCGAAACGACCTAGTTGTTTTAATTTAATGGAACAAATGCTTAAACAAATGAAAAATATGAAACAAATAGATGAATTAACAACAACTGCTATAGATTTACATCATCAACAAAAGAAAACAAATCTATGCTAACCACTAACACAGAGTAAGTGTTAAAGCAAATACAAAAAAACAAATTAAAATTCGATTTTGTTTTTTTTTATTCGGTTAGTTCAACAAGAATATCTGTACTAGTAGCCGAAGCAAAATCGATTAACTGATAAATTATCTAACATTATTATTTCTGACCATCGATCAAATGAAGTTGAATCAATGGCTAATACATCTTCATTTAATAATAATAAAAATTGAATCTAATAACATTTCTACACATCGTTGATTCGAACGATTATTATCAAAATCTGTAGAAGATTTATCATCAAAATAAACTGTATTAAACTTCTATTTAGAAATAATCTCAAGAAAAATAATATCATAAGAGAATTGAAGATAATCATACACAAATAAAACGACATAGTAGTATTACATCAGATATTGATGATGTATCTCTTGTCTACAAATTTTAAACAAGATAAAAATATTCAACATGTTGAATTATTTATTATCATATTATTTTGTCAGAAGATATATTTTCTATTCATCATTAAAATCCATTCATAGATATTTTAATTATGAAAAATCTATTCTCAATGAGTTTATTTATTTACATGCGAGTAAATCCAATCGTTTAAATAAACACGTGTTATTATTTAAAACTTGTTTCAATAAAACATATAAATATATTTCAGGGTAACAAAAAATAGTTTGTACTATCGAATAGAAGGATTTAAGGTCATATTTTAAGATAAGTTAACCGATTTAACTTTCATTTTTTTTTTTGTTGCTAAACATGTCTTTTGGATTTTCGTTATTTCAAGTCCAAATTCTAATAGAATTATTAATCTTAGTTACATTTATTCGAAACAATATTCTTAAGAAACTTTTAATTATTAGAAGGAACATAGTTCCATGATTGCATACTATTACCGAATGGTGTTATGCTTGATATTGTAATTATTTGTATTGAAATATTGAAAATCATGTATAATCAATATTCGTATGAGAAAAGCCTTGACATTAAAGGATGGTAGAGCAAATGAGATAGAAAACATATGAAATAATTATAATCTATATATTGATTTCATGTCAACAAAGATTTTAATCAAATTATATCTGCTCTTGATCGTTAGTTTACGGTAGTTAAAATATATTTCATAAATCTTTTTTTGACTTTTTGTTTTTCGTTGAAATATTGCTAAATATTATTTATTGAAAAATAGAAGAGAAAATAATATTTTATGTATGTATAACGAGAATATATCCTCTTCGTAGGAAGAAAAAAACTATTATCAGTCATGCGTATCAATAGTTATATGTATTTAGTAAATATACATGTATCATATGGAGGAACAACACTATGCATTCTTTTGTAATGATGAAGTTTCAATTTTTGAAAGTGTAGAATGTGACAATGAATTATTATGTTTATCGGAATATCATCAATTGGAATCCGAAGATGAAAATCATAATAATAATAATAAAAAGAATATAATGAAAAGAAAACGATGATTGGGAACGAGTGGGTGAGAATGTAGATATAGACATTACTGAAGCAAAAAGAGTTATATCTACACCAACGTCTTCGATCTCACTACGTTTTTTTCAACCAAGATAGATCAATTTCACAGAAAACATAAAAAATGATGCTTTCATACGAAATAACAGAAAAACTAACTTCGATAACGTCTATCAATTTAATATATCTGGATCAAAAAACGTCGTAGAGCATCGAAAACTATTTCGTTTTGTAGTTCTTCAGAAACTCTATTCTTGAAAAACTAGTAATCATTTTCATCTTTGAAAATTCTTGTTAGAAATAAAATTCTCTAAACAAATTACTATTTGGATTCTGGAAATCGATCGCAATTCAAAAACATACATAATTTATTATGAAAGGATTCATATCTTCTGATCACTTTAATTATTTTTATAGTTTTTGTAAGATATTTTATCATAAAAGGAAATATCATCAAAAGAACAATATTATATAAGTACATCATGTAAATAATGTTGATTTATAATGATACGTCACGCTTATACTTGTATCTCAAGTATACCTTTATTCTATTTTAAATAGTTTTTGGTAATTAGAAAAATAATACGACAATATAAATCATATTGAAGCAAAAAACAATCTGTTTTGACGCTATACTAATAATGTGTTTTTTCTTTTTTTGTCATACGTAGAAATTTTGTTTTTTTTATCGTTCTTTATATTTATTGATGAGTTATAAAATCAATAAATACATCACTACTAATTCATACGAGGAAACTAGAATAGCCTATTTCATTATTTATCATCTTTGTATGTTTTATTGAACAAATATATAGAAATAACAAAAGAAAAATATTCATTTACAAATATGTGTTGTTGTTCTGAAGAAGTATTCCATAAAATTTAACTTTAGCAAGTTGTTAAAAAATATTTTAATTTTTTCAGTAATATTAAATTAAAATTATTATCAGTATATAATAAATTAATTGAACCGAGTTAGAAAAAAAAAACAATGTGTTCGTGTGATACTATTAGAGGTCTGATGTTCGAACTTCTTTATTTTTATTTAAAAATCAAAAATGTCCCCACGCACACGTACAGTAACACAGCTATATCTGCCCTTGTAAAGAAGAAAAAAAGATTATATATATATGTATATCTCGACTACCTAGATCAAGGGTCAAACTTAAGGACAAATAATAAAGAGTGATCAAGGTTATATAACATCGAGATAGATCTAGCAAGAAGAAAGAGAAAAAAGAAATAATATAGAAAAATAACAACAAGTAGGTGAACCAGCTAACAGATACTACATGTTCATTTCGACAATAGAATTTACTAACAAGTAAAATCCTTTTTTTTTTTCTCAAATTAATCTATTTTCTATTGTTTAATTATGTGTCCATTAGAAAAGAATCTAATCAACTTCATTTCATTTTTTTTTTCTTATTTATTGTTTTTAAGTACCTTTATGCAAATAGTTGTTTTGTTTTTTCGATGATATATACCACGTCATCAAAGTTTTTGAGAAAAAAATGCACACCATAAACAAGCTATTATTGATCAATAACAAAGCTCAAAGTAGAAAAAAATATGAATCAAATATGTAGCATCAATTCTTGTTTCTAATTTATCAAATCATAAATTTCAGAGTAAGCCTAAGGATTGATTCGTAAGGTGACTCATCAATATTCCTTTATTTATTTTGTTTTTTGCAAATTTTAATAAAGCGTGTAGTAACTTATATTATAACATAAAGAATTGGCTGTGGTCATAATGATCTCATTTAATGGATTCATTTAGTTGTTCTTTTTTTGTTCTGAAGCATTTTGAAGTATATTCACACTAGAGATATATGACGATTTCTGATAGAAGGAATGCTAGTGTGGATAGAGATACACTTTATTTTATTTCTGCATATCATGTAGCCGTATCATTTACATACAAAACACATGGTTATATGCGCAAATAGAATAAGAAACGATGAAAAGAAAGGAGACGAGACCAATGAGAAAATCGATAAGAGCAATAGGGTAAGGACAGCAGCGTAAGAATAGAAAGGTGAGGATAATATATATATAATATATGAGTGAATGATAGGGAAGAGGTTGAATATCATGTATGAAAACCAATCAACCGTGAGCTTTACACAGACGTCGTATGACAATAATTTATATTGCTATTAACAAGATCAGATATTTGCATGAGAATTAAAAAGAGTTAGGTGTAATCTCAGTAAGTACTAAATGAGACAATTTTTTTTTTCAAGACTTATCATCTTTACAAAACATTCGAAAAAATACATGAAAAATGATTTTTTAGCTTCAAGGAAGTCTTGATAAAAAGCTAGTAAATTTGCTAAAAATCAACAGAATTCTATATCATCCGATCGAATAAATACATCTTTTTGTTTGCTCAACATTGATATATTAGACGATAACCACCTAAATCATGGCATAAATTCAGGTTTGAAGTACCTCTATCTGAAGGATATGTGAAAATCAAAATGACATTACAAACAGAACATCATTTTTATGTCTCGTCTTTTGAATGTTTCTCGAAGGTTATCAGTTTTTTTGAATAATTTTTGCTTTCCACTTTATGAGACATATAAAGACGTTCAGACTTCTCTTTTTTCGATTGATGAAAACTTTAAGTTGTTAATTATTATTATTATCGAGTCATTGAGCTTAGATCAAGTTCTCTTTCATTCTGATCTGAACATCTATTACAAAATGGCTATTTTCATAGTAGTTACATTGAACAATTACTTAGTATAATATCTGAACAATTCAATATAACTCTTTAGCATAAAGAGATGTAGAGAAATAAACTCAACCAATGTTTTGATAATATAAAAACAGAAATTTCTATCAATAAAAATAAAATTAATTTAATTTTTGAAAAGAAATCAGCTTAAATAAAATTGTTTTGTTAGACTTTTATTACCAAATCATTTTAAGCAATTATACATATACAAATAAGATTTTAGCAAGAAGTTTTCTCAAAAATTTAGTATCACATTTTTAGTTTCATCGACTATTTGTTTTTAATAGAACCTTTTCTTATGTGACACACCTATATCATATATTCAGTATGTTGCCATATAGTGATCATATGTCACATCGATAGAGCTTTTTTTTTTTTCGTTCTGCATTCGTTAAATGATAGATATATTGCTAATCTTGATGGACCCCGAATGCAAATATTTATTCAAGTATATACTACTATCGGACATAAAATCTCGTTTTTTAAATAAAGTAAAGAAAATCATCCAATCCAAAATAAATGAATCTTATTTTTCATATTATCTGATGATTTTTTCTTCTGTCACGAACACCTTGATTGAAATTTTCGACCAACAGATTTTTTTTCTCGTTCTTTCAGTCTGTTTATTACATACTTCGGTGGGAATATGGGCAGCTAGCTCGATATAATACTTATCATTTTACCTTTTCTCTTCTCTATTTATTACATTTGCTATATACATATAAATACTGTGATTGCTTCAATGTACCTAAATAGAATATTTTGACTTATTCATTTGGAGGCCATTTCTGAATTCATTACGTATGTATACCATCAGTGTTCATTTATCTATTGATAAAACTCGACTAAAATTTGGTTGTACATCTCCAGTTCAAAGAAACGTTAAATGCGTATATTATTGGACTACAACTGAATATAAACTGTAGACATTCATTTTAAACTAACAGAAAGATAAAGAGAGATCAGTGCTAATATACGAGAGTATAATGGTTTTTTTTTGTTTTATTGATCGATTTCTTTTATATTTTTTTTTCAGATCGAATAAAAAATGGAAGATGTTGATGTTCCTTTCGTCGAAGTACACTATGTTTCTATTCAAAAAGTTGGAGATGTTCCAGTAATTAAAGGTGATTTTCAAACACTTCCACCTAAAGTACAAAAATGGATTGCTCAAATGGTAAAATAAAAATTTTCAACAATTAAAATCTAATCTTCGTTTTTTTTTTCTTCTTATTTTTAATAAAATATAGGTACAATTATGTACTCCACGTGGTGTATATATTTGTGATGGTTCAGAAGAAGAAGCAGATATGGTAACGAATAAACTTCTTGAACGTGGTACATTATCAAGATTAACTAAATATGAAAATAATTACATTTGTTGGACAGATCCTCGAGTAAGATAGTTTTAATTTTTTGTTTTCTATTTATTTCATATTATATTTGAATTTTAAGGATGTTGCTCGTGTTGAATCGAAAACATTTATTGTTACAGATGATAAATATGCAAGTGTACCACATTCTCGTCCAGATGTTAAATGTGTTCTCGGTCAATGGATGTCACCAAATGATATGAAAAAGGAACTTGATGATCGTCTTCCAGGATGTATGGCTGGAAGAATGCTTTATGTCATTCCATTTAGGTAATAAAAGAAAAATAAACAAGAAAAAACAAAGATAATTAATTTTTATTTTATAGTATGGGACCAATTGGTTCACCGTTAAGTAAAATTGGTGTACAAGTAACCGATTCAAATTATGTATTACTATCGATGAGAATCATGACACGCGTTTCATCGGAAATATGGAAACATATTCAACATGATGAAGAATTTGTAAAATGTCTACATTCTATGGGTATGTAAATTATATTGATGAAGGCAAAAGAAAAATAACCAACTGATACAATATTATTTTAGGTTGTCCTCGTCCACATGCTCAAAAAGTTGTTAACAATTGGCCATGTAATCCGGAGAAGACTCTTGTAAGTGAATCATTCTGACGAGAAAAATATCCTAAATGACAACCGTCCTTTGAGCTCATATTGGATTCACAAAGAGATATTGATTAGACTAAAAAAATCCTAAAAGGATTCATGCCTTTTGAGCCTCTGAAGTCAGCTTATAACTGTTCGACTGAATTTTCGATATTTATCGAATAACTGAATGTCGAGCTGACATTTCACTCATAAATAGGACAAAATTCTGTTATTTGATTTTTTAGTCAATATCTAAAACTAGATCAAAAATTTAATAAAATGCTCATAATTCACTTCAACGATGGATATCAATTCGGATAACTTCGTTGTCAAATTAAAATAATAACTAAGTGATGAAACTAATAAATGTTGAACCAAAAACTTGTTCGATCTACTGTTATAATTTTCGATGAACGAAAATATATATTTTTTTTTTCAAGGATAAAATAATATTTTGAATATTTGTAATTAGAAGTATTTTTGAAAATTAAATTTTTTTATTTTAGATTGTTCATTTTCCTGATATTCGAAAAGTTATTAGTTATGGTTCAGGTTATGGTGGTAACAGTTTACTTGGTAAAAAATGTTTTGCTTTACGTATTGCTGGTCGTATTGCATATGATGAAGGATGTATGTAGTTTAATACTAAAAAAAAAAAATTCTTTTTCTTACTGTTGTTGTAAATAAAAGGGTTGGCTGAACATATGTTAATTATGTCAGTAACAAATCCAAAAGGTGAAGAAAAATTTATTGCTGCTTCTTTTCCATCAGCATGTGGTAAAACAAATTTAGCTATGTTAACACCAGCAATACCAGGCTATAAAGTTCAATGTGTTGGTGATGATATTGCTTGGATGAGATTTGATAAAAAAACAGGTGAATTACGAGCTATTAATCCTGAAGCTGGATTTTTTGGTGTTGCACCGTAAGTTTTATATTATTTTTTTTTTCTTTTATTATGAGTTAAAATCTATTTTTCTAGTGGTACAAATATGAAAACAAATCCTAATGCTATATTAACATGTATGAAAAATTCTATATTTACAAATGTTGGTGAAACAGCTGATGGTGGATTTTTTTGGGAAGGTCTTGAAGATGAAACACCAGCCGGTACAGAAATTTTATCATGGACAGGTGAAAGATATAAATTAGGTGAAGATAAAACAAAAAAATCAAGTCATCCAAATGCTCGATTTTGTTGTCCAGCTCGACAATGTCCAATTATACATAGTAAATGGGAAGATCCAGCTGGTGTACCTATATCAGCTATTATATTTGGTGGACGAAGACCTGAAGGTGTTCCATTAGTTATTGAAGCACTCGATTGGAAACATGGTGTTTTTCTTGCTTCACAACTTAAATCTGAAACAACAGCAGCTGCTGAACATACAGGAAAACAAATTATGCATGATCCATTTGCTATGCGGTAATGAAAATAGCTTTTAAGCAAAAAAAAATAAATAAAAAAAAGATATTATTTTATTTTAGACCATTTGTTGGTTATAATTTTGGACGTTATATTCAACATTGGCTTGATTTTGAAAAAGATCCAAATAATAAGGTAAAGCTTTTGAATTAATAAAATCAAATTGTATATGAGTCATTTCAGACTAATTGAAACATACCCATGTTTCAGTTTTTTACAAGAGTTATCTTTCTGTAGATTTGAGATTATATCGACTAACCGACACTGCGATAATAATACAAAAGAGTTTTTGTAGTCTCAGAAGTTATCTACAGAATTTATTATTTAGTTTTGCTTCAATTCGAAGTATTTTCTTTAAGGTAAAAGATTTTTCAGTGGTAATTCCTCTGAACAAAGATTTTTAGCACAGTTTTTTTCCTATATATCTAGAGTAACTTAGCATACATGTAAAATATAAATATTAACTCTAGAAAAATTCATTATCTCAAGATACACATGTTTTAATTTTGAGAAAGTCATGTCGCTAATGAATAATTTCGTCCATATACATACATATATATATATAAATACCTTTATTTAGTTACCAAAAATTTTTCATGTCAATTGGTTTCGTTTGGATGAAAATAACAAATTCCTTTGGCCAGGATTTGGTAAACAGTACATTAAAATAATCTTATTAGATAATTTAATCTAATTTTTTAGGTGATAATATACGTGTACTTGATTGGGTTATTCGACGAACTAATGGTGAAGATATAGCTGATATGTCGCCAGTTGGTTTATTGCCAAAGAAAGGTTCAATTAATCTTCAAGGTCTCACTGTTGATTGGGATAAATTAATGAGTGTACCAAAAGATTATTGGTTAAGTGATATTGATGAAACATTAAAATGGCTTGATGAACAATTAGGCGATGATTTACCACAAGATATTCGTAAACAAATCGAACAACAAAAACAACGTTTGACCCAATTAAAATAATGCCATTTTGTTTTTATTACAGAATTATAATAGAACATTATCATTTTATGAGATAGATTGTGATAATATCACATTAGGCATTAGGCCTTTTAGTCATATTCTTTCATAAAAATAAAATTAATTTCCAAGTCTCAAGCATATATCTTAGTTCATTTTTTTGATTGTTTGAGAAGTATCTTTAGAAAAATACACAATAACTGAAATTGTGTCATATCATCACTGTGTACTATTTGAAAGAATATTAGCGCAGTTCGATTTATTCGTACAATTTTTGGTTTGAAAAAAAATTGGTTCATTTTATGCTATATTTATATGTTTATATGTAACTAGATTGAATGAGTGATCCACATAATGAATGGTTGGTTTTTATATTTTTTTTTCTTCTCTCTCATCACTTACAAGAGAACGTATTCAACTGTCGCACGCTATTCCATCCCATATTTTGATTATGAGCAGAACTCAGTGAAACTAAGAAAATCCTTAAAAGATTTGAACTCATACGATACCAAACCAGCACTACTACTGTCTTAGTAGATTCTCGACGTTTGAGCCAGTTATTTATGAGAAAGACAACGACAAGATTTTCACTTGAAATTTTTTTTATGTAGACAAGAAGTACAATATCAATAAATGACGGCGAAAACTATCGCACGAAATCTTTCGACACCTTAAAATTATTTATTCAAAAATCTCATGTTATATTCATACTATAGCGTTTTTTTTTTTTATCAAGAATGTGTTAGATAGCAGGAACAAACTTAATTTCTTACTTCTAGAACAATTTTACTTTCGTTAAATTCTATTACTTTCTCATAATTTCTGACGATTTCCAATTCTCTGAAATCTCATCGATATTATTTGTATTTTCAATGAGAACTCATGTATTCAATTATGATGTACTTTTATGACCGATAATAAAATATGTTTGTATGGAAATAATACATTAACATCCTATAGTTGATTACCATCAAATAAATATCTACTGACATTCATTCAATAAAGCTCTTTGTATTGCATGGACTAGATGAAAACCAATAGATCTGTTGATATAGTATTACAGCTAAACAGACAAAATCTTATTGATGCTCTGAAATTTTAGTGAATTTCATTTTCTAAGTTTTGCTACTTGATTATTGACATGCAGAACTTTCTATAGAAAAAAGATGATTTTCTCCTATCAAGAAATATATAAGTCAGAAAAATAAAACATATAAATGATACTTGTTGTAAAATATTTATTGATAGACATAGCAAAAACTCTCTGGTAAAACTGACCAAAGATTTTCGATTTTATTTGAAAAACATTTATATCTCAACAAATTTTTATCATGAGATTCTTCCGTATCAGCAGAACATTCTTATTTATAAATCATTGTTAATTTGTTTGATTAATGACAACAATATCATTTTGGTAATAGATAACAGAGATGAAATACAACGTGATCAACAATATTGATGATAGAGATAGTTATTGCTTTGGTTTACTCTGATTTTTATTTTGATTAGCAACTGATTGAGAATCATGAATTTGAAATGTGATGAGTCGATAAAACATTTCAATCAATTCCATTAAAGAAAGAAAACTAATACCGATCCAAAGACCTGTTTGTCCACCAACATTCGAAATAACATCGACAACGTTCAATGTTGCCGTTTGTGTATACGTTTCAATCAAACCTGATTCAGCTAATAGTTCTATCGATAAATAACTTGAACGAATATAATCTAGCCATCGACTCGACCAATCGAATGGCAACGGAACTGATGAATTTTCAACGAATGCTCTAATATGAGATACAAGCCATTCTGGTGGTGCAGTTGATAGCGACGATTTTACAGTAAAAGTTGTAATGGAACATTGTTGTACACAATAGGAACAATATTGATCACGAATTGAATGTGTCAAATCAAAATCATTCATGGCTTGTCTAAAACAACTGTTAGATATGTTGCACAACGGTGCCATAATAATTTCGTTTGTCCCAGGTAAAACTATTAAACGAGCATTCCATTGTGCAGGATTAACACAATTACATCGCTTATAACTACACAAAGAAAGAAATGTAAAGAATTTATTTTTTTTATTATCTATGTCAGAAATAGGAAAAAACTTACATATAAGCTTGTGCACAAAGGATAAGACAAAGATCTTCTGAATAGGCATAGTCGGCTCCTTCATATTTTTCAAACATAAATTTCATGACAGGAGGAATGTCATTCGTACATGTTGAATAAGGTGGCGGTAAGAAAAGAATGTCTCTTTTTGTATAGATCAATCGATGTCGAAAACCTGGTGCTAAGGCGATGCCTCCTTTTTCAACAAGAGGTAATTGTGTATTGTCATGAACCATGGCCATCATGGCTACACCTAAATGTAAACATACGTAAAAGCATTCAATAATAACAATTTACATACTTCATTACTTCATGAAATATATATATATCACTTTTCGAAAATGTGTATTTTTCTCATATGTCAACCATTGTGTTCACAATGTGAAAAATTGTTCTTTTTTTCCTCTGTACACATAGTTACTAGTCCAAAGACTGATAAATTAACCGAATAAAAATACAATGGGGATTTTGAGCCATCAATATTCAAAGCTGAAGACGATGCATGATTGTTGCAAGTTTCGTATAGCCTTCAAAGAACCACTAATTATTTTTCTTCGGAGGAAATTTCCTATACTTTTAATTCATCGTTCGATCAATTTCGGAAATGTGTAAGGCAAGATTCTATATCTTGGTCTCGTATATTTAGTTTACACTTTCTTCAAACAAGCTAGTACAACGAAACAACGATTCTAGATTTCTTTCAAAAGATTTTTTATAGATAAAATGAATTCGCTCTATTACTTGAACTTACCTTCAACAAAGTTAGGTACATATTGATGAGCATGAAGATACAGACGCAATATCAGTTTGCCATTGATGTTTATATCATGATTAGGACGTACACTGCCATTTTTTGTTTTAGCATTAAATGTATAGCAACGACCATATGCATAGGAATCGAATTCAATAAAATCATTCACTGAACATGAATTTCCAGCATATTCGCAGCCAATTAACATTGAATTCAATGTAAACACATATTGATCTAGTGATCGATTTTCATTGATCAGTTTTGGAAAAAATAACTTGATAAAATCTATTTGACTGGTTACTGGTACATTATCTCTTGCAGTTGTAACATTGAAATGTCCAGCATATTGCGAATATGGTATGAAAATTGCATCGGCACGAACTGCACCAGCATTACAAATGGTCAATGCTGGAAAATATTGTATGCGTTCACTAGTAATACTCACTGTTGTTTGTGTCGGATAATCAAAATAGGTACGAATCGCTTGAATAATAAAATACAACATAGCACCAGCAAATGTCATGAATGCCAGTGACCAAAAGAGACGGTTTTTTATATTTCGACTTCGAGCAATGCCTGCAACACCATGAGTTGTTGTATTCAATGCAAATTCTCGAATGATTGATATTCGTCGTCGATAAATTAATTCATCCGACAGAGTCGGATTCACCGGATGATTTGCAACGACTTCTGCGACGGTTTTTTCTGTCGTTTCCATAATTTCAAAAAAAAAAGATATCTAAAAGATAACGTACAAGTAGTCTGACATACCAAAAAGATGCTATGAATCTCGAAATATAACCATTAATTAAAAGTCTATCTGAAAAACACGGATTAATGTCATGAAAAAAAAAATTGGTGATCATTATATCAGTTACTCTACACTCAATATCAAGTACTCAAAACTTCTCCTCATTCTGAGCAGTAAACACTTATTTTCTAGTTCCGTGAGTAATAAAAACCATTATAAGATTACCACATACGTTCTATCACTGACGAACAGTACAGGAGAAAAATGATATTAAGTGTATTGGATTATAATAAACAATCAAGCAACATATGAAGTATGAGATAACGTAATCGTGTGTAAAAAAGAAGACAAAAATTTCTTAGACACTAACAATAGTACGTGGTGAAACATTTCGTCATTTTTTTATTAAAAGTTAGTAACATCAAATTATACCAACAAGTATTGAGTTACCTTTAGTTAAAAAATTGCGTTAATAAATTATTGAAAAGAATAAAAAAAGATCATTTTATGCAGTCGAACAGCGATTGCAAGTGAACGCTTATCATTTGAGAAAAAAAAATAACTGAAAGACTTCCAACAATGAACATCTTCACAAACTAAGCACTTTCGACCATTCCTGACGATACACACCTTAGAAACGTTATACTATGTTTCATTTTCATAATCCAAATGTGCGCAATTTAAGAGTATTGGAAATTCTCCATTTGCTCTTTATGAAATTATGAACAGGAATTTCATGTTAACAAAAAACAAAGAAATCGATTTAAGTTTTCACCTTATCTCTAATATAGTTTTATTTTTATTTCTTAAATTAAAGGAAAAAAAGATTTTGAACATTATCCTCTTGTGACGAACTGACCAAGTCCTGTCCCGTGATGTTTCTGATCCAGTGTATCTTTCATTGACAGTGCGTTCACTTTTGCTTTTCTTTCGCTCTCATAGCTCTTGTCGAATTTCTCTCCCCTTGTTTCTCATCATGGACACACTCATCATGTCCATCTATACATATAGAACGTAATTTCGCGATAAATGACATTCCGATCTGGTATTCATCTTCTTCGGTCTACATGGTCAGCCTCTTGAAGGGTTCATATTCTGTACAACTCTAATCTTATTACCTTGCAAAAAATCAAAGTTTAGATTTTACAGATATTAAAAAAAAGTACATTAGGTAAATCAAACGATCGACAGAAATATTTTCTCCTAGAAATTCGAAAAATCATTGAAAATAAATGTTTTGCATGTTCATCCACACCCTAATAGTTGTTCTCATGATATGTTGAGATCAAAATCATTCATTAAAATTTTGTCAAATTAATATCAAAATTGGATTTAAAATGAGCACACGCTTACATAAATAATCCCTTTTATACTTCCGAAAGAATGACGAAGTCCTAGATCATACTTTGTTTTGAACAGATAATAGGACATACTTACCATCTACCGGTACTTAATCATTTACTGTCAAAACTAAGCATAAACACTAATCTTGTTCTTTATTTTTCTCTCATCATTGTTTTTTTTTGCTCAATCGTCAAGCAAGTGCTGCCAACATTAATGTTTCTACTTCAAGAAAATAACTAAGCAAGTCAGAATAATTACTGAAAGTAACTGCTTTTTTTCAATCAATGACATCTAAGGTGAAATAACCCAGAAAAAAAGTTATTAATCAGAACAGAGCAAAAGACCTTGAAATGTTTCATGTGCTCAGTTAAAAAAAATTCACGTTGACGAAAAAGAACATAATAAAGCATAAACAGATCTGCTAAAAAAAAGAAAATATGCCCTTATGTTAGAACAAAAACATCTGTGTCCAGTTGTCTAAACTGATTTGACTAATTAAGGGTGTGGGTGTGGGTATAAAATATATCCAAATTCACACCCACACCCTCAATAGCTTTGTCGAACCGAAGCGGAATTATATTCGATGATCATGTGGACAAACAATGCCGGACATCAACATGGATAGCATAATAATAGATATGATGAATTCTATTTGTGGAGTCATTCATATGCGATGTTTTTAGCTACACAATACCTGTAATGATAATAAAACTATTTTGTGTTCGCTATACGCATCAATTTTTGCATTCTATTCTGTTCTGTGTTTGCCAAAAAAAGAATTTTTATCTAAATATGACGTCTGCTATGATGACTATCAAAAAAATCTAAAGACTATATTTGTTTTCTTATGTCTTCCTCCCATTTCTTTTGTTTATTTATTTCATTCTATAGAATGAAAATTAAAACTGGATATTAATGTTCTCTGGTATTTTAATTTGATAGTTAGCCTTTGTTATTACCTATATAATAAAGCAAGTTACTGCATTTCAATAGGTTGATTTTCATACCTTTTCCTTAGAGAAACAGTCGAAAATGCTATGTTCTGAAAAATGCATTTTATAGAATTAAAATTCGCAATCTTCAATATAGATATTCCACGAACTTTTGTATCAAACTCCTTTCTAACTGCCTCGGAAGTTGTTTTATATCACAATTTGAATTTTGATCAATTCTCTACGTCTGAAAATTAGTTATACTCAAAAATAAAAATAAGAAAACTAATTCTCCAATTATATTCGTGTCGAACAATTTCAATACTGATACTATTGAAAAGCTTGCCTAAATACTTATTTTATAATAAAGAAATCACTTCAATTCACAAGAATTCATCTTATGCAAACCAATTCGTTCTTATATCGATAAAAAAAAATACTGTCAGCTTTTAGAGTTGATATAATGCATTGTCATTTTTTTCTGTGCAAATGTTGAATGTATCGTTGTATAAATAGTATTCTGTTCCCTGATGCAGAACAAAGTCATCGCACTCATTTATCTGTATGCGAAATAAAAGAATGCGAGTATGGATCATAATTATAGTTGATCACCAATAAATTATACTGAAACAATGTTATTTAGATGTATACGCGTGATATTTTGCGATCAATAAGAGATATTGCTTTAATGGTAGTTTTTAAATGTATTTTGTTCTTCAGCACAAATTTGATAATGTATGATGTTTAACTCGTTGAAGTCTGAATGAACCAGTAAGAAATATTTCATTACTTAGTATCTTAGTTTATAGCAACAGTAATAATGACTCTAGTGATGTTTTTAGTTCTAGAATACATTGGGTAACATATGAGTTTTCAATAAGTCTATAATTAAATATTCATCAACATTCTCTTATCTTTTATAGTAACTTGGAACCTCAATAACAATTGTTAACCTAATAGTGAATACTTAAAAATAAGACTATCACATAGGGCATATATTGATTTGATTATTATTACTTCATATTTATTGTTGGATCATTGTTGACTAGTATTTTTATAATCGAATTACTTTATTCATTAACATATTTTATTATTAGCTTTTAATCATGATACATTTTACATGATGGTTCAAAATGTTTTTCCCATTCAGAAACTACGATTTTGCCATTATTGTTATTCTCTTTTTGTGAATATTTTTCAAGTTTTCGATGCAATTCCATTGGTTTTTGGTATAAAATATCTGTTCTTAGGACATATTTAACACCTGATTGAACTTTTGATCCTTCATGAAGAATTTTATGAATATTTATCAAAGCCATTCCTTGTTTTGGTTTTATTACATGAACAGGTTGTTTATCTTCAATATCTCGAAGAAATCGACAGTGTTGTTTATCAGGAAAAAATTTTGTTTCACCACCTTGAAATTCATCATTTAGATAGATTAATAATGTTAAAAATGAATGTTGTTTATATGATTGTTGTAATTCATTATTGTATGTTATTGTACGACTATAACTACCATCCATATGTTCAGGATATTCTTCATCCTTTTTATACTTATAAAAACGTAAACGATCAACACAGGCTGCAATAGACCATTCACGTCCTCCAATATCTTTGGTAAAATAAGCGTTATCTTCCATCCATTCTAAAGTTTGAGGTAGTAACGGTGATACTCGTTGAAATAATTTATCAGCTAATGATTGATCTGTGATAACTGTGTATTCATTAGTTCTAGGATCTTCACGATGTGTACGACCATGACCACCGCCTAAAATTATCGAAAAGAAAAATGATACTTTGAAATATATCATACAGAGAGTAATTTGTTTGATTGATGAATAAGCTCAAAATAATCTCATTGAAACTCTTAGCTCACATAATAAATATAGAATTATCCGCACTTTCTGATGATTATTTTTTCTCTGAGAAAAAAAACTTCAGATAGTAACATCAGTATCTTCTTTCAAAAACTGTCCTTATGAACTACGTAGAATATTTTATATATCTAATTCGCAACCCACTAAAAATTCCCTAAGAAGACATAAATAACTAAAGAAAAAAACAAGTCTTCACACGTGCAAATGTTTTACCTGACGGAGGACTTTGTTTGAAACCAGATTCTTCTGCTCGTGCAATCAATTGTTGACATTCATCTGCAGATAAAATATTTGGAATGATACTAATGCGTTCTCCATCAATTAATTGACGTTGAAGACGAAACATGGTTAGTGTAGGTTTTTAGTGGAATACGCCATTGTTAAATAATCACAACATGAATGATGAAATTACATTTTTTTTCCTGATTATCATGATATGTTACAAACATACAGAACAGAAAAAATAATAATTGCACAATCATTACACAAGACAGACTTCATCGATTTCGTCATAAACTAGGTGAAATGGGAATTTGATTGCTAGTGAGCATTTAACGATTAATAGAAAGGAGACTTTTTCTAACTACGATTATTTATTTTAGAAATTTCAGAAGAAGAAATTTTTTTTTTGTGTCCAGTACCAATTATTTTATTGAATTAATAGAATAAGAAACTTCATATATTTGTTTCGACAGATTTTTCATATTTAATATGTGATTTTATCAAAATCAAAATATTACATTTAATTAGTCATAGATTTACCATCAAATAATTGTATGTATGAAACATATTGGATGTATAATGAAAATGTGTTTAACTCATTTCCTTCTCATTGATTAATGAAAGTTCATTCAAACATCGCATAATACATTCAAATAGTTCTTCCATCGATGAAGATTACCGATACTAAAATGTAACATCCCGAATTGATAGTAGAGAATGTTATCCATGTCAAGAAATTTATTTAAAAAAAAATACAACAATATATTTTCGATTTACTCGAGTTTTTAGTCGAGGATGAAATACTGTTTGATTCGAATGCAACTAAATTGGTTCTATATACTATATATCTAGATATTTTTATGTTTGGACTGTTATATTATAGCTAAACATGAAAAATAATTTTAAATTAAAGTTCAATAGAGGACAAGTTCATCTTATAAATCAATGACCTAGAATTTATACAAATGACATTATGGTTATTCAACTGAAATCAATACAATTCAATAATTAGTTTATATGGACATCGAAATCAGTTACTTTAGATAGTAATAATTTTAAACCAAGGCAAATATTCCCTAGACTGAAAGGTTAGGATCTAGAAATTGTAATTCACCTGTATCTGTCTGTAACAAGGATCTGGCACAAATGACCATTTCTATGGCACAAACGACCATTTTTATGGCATAGCCGACCATTCTTGTGGCACAAATGAGCATTTCTGTGTCACAATTGCCCATGTCCGTGATAGAAATGACCATTTCTATGGCATAAATCACTATTTTTATTCTTTATAATCTACTAAGGCATAAACTTTGTCATACACAATAATGCGTTTGAATATATCTATAGTATGTAGTATATAACATGTTACAAATATTGCTAATTTGGGGTGTGGGGGTGGGGAGTGCAGTGCGAGTGAGGGTATGATAAAAAGATGTATACGCAGATCCACAACCAAATCAACACCCATACCCACACCCACACCCTTTTTAAATTTTTATTATATAGTTTTCTCTTATTATCTTTTTATTCGATAACTGCTAGCTTCTAAGCCAGTTGAGTTGTTTTTTTCAAATTTCTGCGCTACACTGACAGTATTCCGAAACGATAATGAGCTGTCGGAAAAAAGTAAGGGAGACCGAAATTTCTGTCCAGAGCCTAACTATCTTCAGGATGAAATCAGGACGTGAGGGTGATGGTCAAAAATTCTGGGCCGAAATTCCTGTAACCCAAAAAGTAATGATGATCAATATCAACAACTTATTTTTCTAGTTTATCTTTGAAGGAAAAAATCGCAGAAGAAATCATTGACGCGTGTCATTGATAGACACGACTGTAATAGATATGTTCGAAGTTCGAACATACAAAAAATATCACTACTAATATTGTTTAAGTTAAATATCATCACTAGAAATAATTGCAGCATGAAAAGAAATCATTTTATTTGATTATGCAACCATTGAATAGTCTTCAAGATGCTCAATGACAAAAAGTATCAATGAGAATGTGGTTTTGGTTGTAGGTGAGTGTAACTACTGATTACACGTACACCTACATCTATGCTCACATCCATATCTTCAACACTGAGGAAGAAAAAAATATGAAGAGTAGCGTGATGCGTAACCTGTGCGCCTTCTATCGACGTTGCGATCAATGTATTAATGTCTTCCTATACTAAATCAAGGCCAAGTTGAAAAAAACAATCATTTACTCTCGATGATGTATAAATATGTGAAAGAATCAATTATCGATTAAACACAAAGCAACTTCACGTATTCGACATATACTTTAATTGTGAGTAGATCGACTAATAGTTCTTCTGTTTTAATCCTTTGACAAAAAAGTATTTCTATTGGTTTGTATCTAGTCATTCTCCTCGGAGAGTCAGTGACGCTCACGGATCCAACGAAATCGTTTTTTTAATTTCCGAATTTTTTTCAAAATAATAATAGTGTTTACACTATACATTGTGACATATTTTTTTTCAAAGAACTGTATTTCTTTTAGTAATCATTTTCTTTTATAAAAGATAAGATTTTGCGAGACGAAGTATTAAAATGAATTTTTCTATCCAACCCAATCGGGATGCATTTCTTACCCGTAATATCTACATTTATTGTGTTCCCTTAAAAATATCAAAAAAGATTTTAATTTATTCTGTATGAGAGTAAGGTTAGAAATTTGCAAAGGAAGCTCTTGTCACTAAACCAAACATTTTTCATTAACATGGATAAGCGAGTAGGATATTCTCATAGCAATGAAGACGATCGTTCGAAACTAATAGGAAATATTCTCACATTATCATTTGATATTAATTCCTGGCTTTTATTTGCTAATAAATGAAACGTTTTCCGTATTACTAAACACTTCATTCGTATTTGACAAACGTCCATTTCTTCTTCTCACAACGAAACAAATGTAAAAACATGAAATCAGGGACACACTAAATAAGAGAACAGAAAATATTTAGAAAACCCAAACAGTACAAAAATACGACACAATTGAAAAACCAAGAAGCTAGAGAAGAGTTGGACGTTTCCGTTGATTATGATTTTGTTTAGTTCTAATGACAATATTGCCAGTATGCAACAATCACTATATTCGAGAAAGTATCTCTTCAACTTCAAGGTCGTTTACTGAAGCATTAACAGTGAGACGTCTAATGGATGCTTTTAAAAATAAGTATAGAGAACTGATTTAATTTAAAAAGTAATGTAGGAACGTAGTGTATAGTTTATTCTTGGGTTAGGTTGAGTCGAGTCGAATGGTCAAATTTATTTGAATATTAAAGAGTATGGAGTTTCGATATACTTTCATGTTTAAATAAATTTCATGACTCCATCCAACCATGAATGAGATAATTCCCTTCTATATTACTTTCGTATTAAAGTGAATTTTCTCACCCAACGCAGAGCTAATTAGAGGCTTCAGTCGTATGTTGATGCTACATTCTATTGGATTTTGTAATTCACATCGCTATTATCATTGTAAATTCCTTCGTATGTGTATCTAGAACTCAGTTTGTGTCTTATAGATCATTTAAAGTTAACGTAAGTCTTCTACTACGATTCTGTGATTCACGATATTTTCATATTGTCATCGATTGAAATTGAATTTCCTAAAAATTGGAATTTACCATCCCCTCACACTCATATGAAACAGTAATCTGAGACAGATAATTCAAATGTCCATCAAAACTGAGATCGCTTCAGAAATATTCACCAGCTGAAATTCTATGAACCAAAACTCTACTTGAGGTCGAAGAAGAATAAACATGCTTTCAATTTATCTCATATGATCTTCACGTGTGGAATCAGTTATAATGTATTGAGGGTGTGGGTGTGGGTGTTGGTGTGATGGGTGTGATGGGTGTGGTGGATGTGGATGGGTAGGTGTGGGTGTGAAGGGGAAAACATGCACATCCACACACCCACACCCACACCCACACTCACACCCTATCCACACCCACACCTTCATAGATAAAGGAAAAAGACGAGAAAACATGAAAATCTAAGTGTAACACCTTACAATATTGGAAATCTTTGCCATCCAAGGGGATGAATAGAAATAAACAGAAATCATCATGTCACTTGTCAATATATCATCAATCGTTTTTTTTTAGTAGTTGAAAATGATTATCGTTGTTTCTAACGATTTTTAATGGTTTCTAGGGTTAAAATCAGTGTGTTCACTTTGTTCAATGTGCAACAGACGTTTTTCTTTATAGCAGTAGGACATCAGATGCACGCTTTTTCGGATAGCATATCTATCCAATTACTGCGATAAGTTTTCGTGAAAATAGAAGTATCGTCATAAACATATTAAAGAAGGTGAACTATCTTCAAATTGCATGCCTAGGATCCTGTTACAGAAACTTTTTCGTGTTCCAAATTCTGTTTGTTTCGTTGTGAAAAATTTTCAATACTTCCAAATCTCATTTGACCTGGATATCTTTTTTTTGTAAACATCAATGACGAAAATCTGGGTGTGGGTGTGGGAATGACTCTCTCTTGGATAAATACTCACATCCATATCCACACACTCACACCCGACTCTGTATTTATCTTTGGAAATATGTATTTTCTCTGTTAGAATTAGGAAATTTTTTTTTGTAAATGATCTGCTCCGTTTTCTAGTGTGCCAACCTTCTCTTTACTCTTGTATTCTTCCGAGATTTTTCTGAGAGACCCCTTTTTCTTGGTATGATTGCTGTAATCTATGTGCAGCTTCTGTACGCTGGGTATAACTCAGCTTTGTTTAAATTTCTTAGTTGAGCTGCTTTTAATTGAACTGTACGATGTAGCAATAGGCTTCATGATAGAACAAAAAGTAGAGAAGACCAAGAGCCTTGTCGATTCTTGCATAAAACATGATGTTGATTGCTTCTCTTTTTAGTACACCGTTAAGTAAAGATATGCGAAACTTGGGATGTTTACAACTTCTGTTGCTGTCTATAGTGTGTAAATTAAAAGCGGAAACAACGGAAGGACACAGTTGGCCAGTTAGTTCATCCAGCATCAAATTGTTGGGCCTCTTTCCTCGAATAACGGACGAAACATCCAAAAATGATCGCTGGTCTATTCATTGTTGTTCAATGTTTCGAGCAGCTATTATATTGTCTGAACGATATAATATAACGTTTCAAGAAGAATTTATTGGTTATGAAGAAATACTAACCGATGACAAAATTATGCTTACAGTTGATCAAACATGTGAAAAAGTATCAACATCAAACATAGTTGGATTCGTTGGTCCAGCATATTCCAGTGAAGCACGATATATGGCATCATTTGCATATCAGCTAGGAATAATAAGTGTCTCTTATTCAGCTACAAGTCCTGATCTATCCACCATCAACAATGGAGCCTTTTTTCGTGTAGTTCCATCAGATGAAAATACTGTATTAGGCATGACAATCTTATTTCAACAATATAAATGGAAATCGTGTATAATTATCTATCAAAATGATGAATATGGTTATAATGGCATGCAATCATTGAAGCAAAAGTTTAATGAAATGAATATTAAAACTCGAGAAATAATCAGATTTGATATGAATTCCAGAAATTTTCAAATTGATTTTACAGAGACATTACTTAATAGTTCGTCACGTATTGTTATTTTATGGGCAAATGAACAGTCAACAATAACAATATTAAATAGAGCTCTTGAAGAAAATTTGGTCGGTCCAGATTTTGTTTGGATATTAACCACAACAATATCGTTAAATAATTTCAATCAAAGACAAAAGAAAGAACTTATTGGAGTTCTTACTCTTGAACCGGTTAAAGGAGATTTTGTTGATCAATCAATCAATACAACATTATTAAATCAAGCATATGAAATATGGAAATATTATGAACCTGATACATTTCCTGGCGATAGCAATGTCAGTACTTATGCATTATATACGTTTGATGCAACATGGTCATTAATATTATCCTTACAACAACTTTGTTCAATGCAGTTATCATGTTTACAATATCTCAATGTTTCAAATTGTTACTATCGACAATTTTTTAATCGAAATCAGTATTACGAGAATATGAGAACGATATCATTTTTAGGTGTCTCGGGTGAGGTAAAATTTTCTAATAGAACGGCAGATCGTGCTGGTCATACATATTATATTATCAAAAATATCCAACCTTTAGATAAAAAACTAAATAGCATTGGTTATCTACCTGTATTAGAATGGGATACTAGTTCATCCATATGGAAATCTTACAAGAATCAATCTGATGGTATAATATGGCCAAATTGGTCAAAAAACATTCCAGTAGGCCACAAATTAATTCGAGGTAACGAAAGGTTTGCCTCTATCGAGTTCTCTAATTTGGATAACCTAATAGTATTGCTGAGGACATTTTATTTTCTTACAGGAGACTTCCCACAAGACCATTTGATATTGACATAGGTATAAAAAAAACATATTTTGTCAAAAAAAAGTCTTTTCGTAATGAAAAACTCAAGTCTATAAATTTCCAGAAACCACCTATACATTCGTATTTTTTTTACTAAGAAAATCTTTGATGAAACTTTACAGGAAGCCGTGATGTTTGAGAAATAGCCTTTTCCTAGTGGAACAATTGAGTCCGCATGATTTCATTAGAAAAAGGCTATTCCTAGAAAATAACAAGTTTTTATACCAACGTCAATACTTTAGTAATGTATCAATGTTGTGACATACCTACCGTATAGTAAAGCTTGAGAAAAGTTTTCTCAGAAAGCTTTCTTTCAATATATAGTAGAAATCTTTACGGGACAGTGACTTTCGCTTTACCTTGGTGTTCGATTCTCTTAATTTGAAGTGTTTGGATGAGCGTGAAGATAGATCTATCATCCTCATCCTGTGGTTGTCATCATTAGAGAAAAGAAGATGAAGACGCGTCGAATCGTACATTGCAGATTTTTTTCAAAGTTCCGAGAAAATGGTTTCAGAGCAAAGAAAAAATTAAAAAAGTACTTTTTCACCGAAATTACTAATAAAATCTATTCAGAACTTTAAATAAGGTGTGGATGGATATGTGGTATGGGTGTATGGGTGTCGGTGTGGGTGTGTGTGACTGAGAGTAAATCCACAACCACCCTTACACACCTACACCCCACATTCCACACCCATCAAATGATATATAGAGCAAGTGTAATACTCTTTTGTGAGCTTCAAATTAGGCAAAAAACTAAGTTTCGTGAGAAAATAGGGACAAGCACTTAGTTATTTGCATTCTGTGATTCAAGAAAACGGTAGAGTGTGAAACTTTTGGTATCACCATAGAAACCTCGACGAGAGCTATAGATTGCATATATTGGAAAGATGTTTACTTTGCGTCGAAGGCACTTTACTGATACAGTATAAATATGGTGTCAACAGGGTAGGCGTAAACGACAGTATTTTTCCATGGTATGATTACAATGTGAATACGGTGATCGTATACAGTTCGTTTACGTAATACCCTATCAGATGCCAGCAAATGGCGATATATCATGTCGTAATGTGGTGATCCGTGTTCGATCACCGTTTTCAGGCTGAAAATCATCGTGATTTTGTCGTATACGGCCGTTTCTATACCATATCGTTCCACCCAGAGCGGGGAGAATTGAAAAGTCAAGGTAAATTTCAAATAAATAACTAAGCAACTTTTCCTGCAAAAAGGTATATTATTATTTAAATATTGGATCTAAAGTGCAAGAATTTCACTATTTAGAAAAATAAAATGAACTATTTCAGTACTTCTCTATGAGGTTTTTTTATAGGTCAAGAATTACGTATGGCGATCATAGAAGCCTCACCGTTCATAATATTAAAAAATTCGACTGCTTTATACAGTGGAATGACAGACAAATATAAAATAATAAATATGATCGAATTCGATGGCTTTTTCAAAGATGTACTTTTACATTTACAAGATAAAATGGGATTCATTCCTGTTATTATGTTAGCTCAAGTAACTACACAATACAATGAATTAGTTGCTGGGGTAGCAAATAATTTATTCGATACTGTTATGACTACTATAACTATGACTGAAGAACGAAAGAGTTTAGTTGATTTTTCTATACCTCTTATACCTAGTACAATAAGAGTTGTTACACGAAAACCAGAATCTAATAATTTCGATTTCCTTTTCTTCGCAAAACCTTTTTCATGGCAACTCTGGTTACTTATATTAGGCACCCTAACTTATGCGAGTATATTGATATGGTACTTTGAATGGAGTAAGGGTGGAAGAACGGCTGCTGTAGTTAATAATAATCATGGAGAACGGGTTGCTGTGGTTAATAATAATGATGGAGAAGCGGCCGCTATAGTTAATAATAATGGGATAGAATGGACTATCATGTACGTGCTCGATGTTATGCTTAATAGAGTTCCGAATTTTGCAGCAGGAGGACCTGGAATACTCCTTACATACGGTTTGTATATTCTACAAATAATATTATTTGCATTATATACAGCTAGTTTATTGTCATCAATAATAACACAAAACTCTGATTTCACTATATCAGGAGTAGATGATATAAAGAATGGTAAAATCGCACCGAGTCGAGTAGGACTTGTGGCAGGTTCTTCAATAGAAGCGCATTATTTAAATACTATATCAAATGGGAAAAAAGATTATTATCCATTAAGGACAGTGAACGAAATTTATACAAGTTTAATAAAGGGTGATATCGATGCTGCTCTCTGGAGTAATTTATCGATTGCATATCATACAAATAATGTATATTGTGATTTAATGCCGGTGGGTGTTGACTTCAGTTACAGTTCATATATCTTACCAGTAAAACACGATTGGGAATATAAAGCAGATCTAGATTCTAATATATTATCTTTGATTGGATCAGCAGAGCTTGATCGGATATCAACCAAATGGTTCGTACAACGTACCTGTATCGAAACAGGTGCGTTTGATAAAGAAACAAAGCCAATTACATTACAAGCAGTTATTGGATTGTTTGTTGTATTTTTTGGTGTTAGTATCATCTGCATTTTATTATATTTTCGGTCAAACATAGCTGATATCATACGGCGGGCTTGGGACGTAACGCGATGCTTCGCTGATCAAGTTTGGAAAAAATGTTTTTGCAAACTTGAACAGAACTAAATGAGTTACTACTATACAATTCATAACATTGATTACGAATTTAACATTGATTTCGTAAAAAAAATTAGACTTTGGCGTCGAAATTGGGTTTTAAGCTTTTCAAAAATCGTACTTTAAATTTTTAAGCAAGAAATTTTTTTTTCGAAAAATGCTCAAACACATACCATCTGATGCAGAATTTCATTCTCTACAACATGGCCTATGTAGTTTTAACTTTCGTAGCTAAGGAGAACTTCTAGACTCTTACACAGTCCCCAAATTATTGTACAGTTTATAAGCTCCCATGCTGATGTATCGATGTCATTCTTGCATAGAACAAATAGTCATACAGAAAAGACTAACGCATATAAAAATCAAATCATTTGCAACATATCCTAAGTCCATGATTCCCGCCTTCCGAGGGTGTGGGTATGGGTGTTAATCTTCCCTTCATTCATACTCGCATTCCACACCCACACCCCCGCACACCACGCCCTTTTGTCTTAGCTTTGAAGATCAAGTTGCAAGTTAAGTGAAGAGTTCAAAAGAGAAACTCTTAAGTCAAAAAATGGCTTCCCATATAGCCAATAATGTAAAATAATGGACATTATTGTACATTATTTTTGATAAATAATGTATGCAATGTAATTATAATGCAACCAATTTCATGCATTTTAATGCATTGATTTTCAATGAATTATTGAAAATTTTACTATTATTTCTTTGCGATTCATTATAATGCATGAAAAATTTACGAAAAAATGTATTAAAATGCATTGGTGTTGTGGAGATTTTCAATTAACGGAAACGCATTTTTTTTCTCAAATTTTTCATGCATTATAATGAATTGCAAAGAAATAATGATAAAATCTTCAATAATTCAATGAAAATCACTGAGTTCCAATGCATTACTTGGAAAATAATGCATTGAAATGCACGAAATAGGTTGCATTATAATTACATTACATACATTATTTATTAAAAATAATGTAAAATAATGTCCATTATTTTACATTATTGGCTACATAGGTTGACTTCCCCCTTTCTGGTGTGAGTGTTCTGAAAAACGAATGTGGATAGTGACTCTTACATTGTTGAACGATGGATTGTAAATGACTCTTTTCTGAATAGATAAAAATCAAAATACGTGAAAATGACATTGATTTGATTCAACCTTCAAATTTCATGCTACAGAAAATATTTATGTATAATTAGATAAGATATATGGGCTTTAGTTAACGATACAAACTACATTAAGTACAGAAAAAGTTATAAAGAAACATCACAACGATAAAGCATATGTCAAAGTAATGAATAAACGAAACAGTAGAAGCTTATAAAAACGATATTAACAAGTCTCCAAGAGAACTTTTATAGTATCAGTGCCTTCATTAGCAACAACAAGATCTTGCTTTCCATCATTGTTGAAATCATTCATATCCATGGAAAAAGGCAAAGCTTGGCATCCTATCTCGAACTCAACTACATCTTCAAAGGTACTATTGCCATATCCAAGTAGTACAGCTATAGTGCTGGCGACATAATTGGCTATAGCAATGTCTAATGAGTGATCGTTGTTGAAATCAGTGAGCGCTATCGAACATAGGCCGAAAGAAGCTCTAGTTGAAAATGTCTTTTGGTTTGAAAAATAAGAGTTTTCATTTCCAAGAAAGATACCTACACTATTAGTACCTGAATTGTCAATAGCGATATTCAATGGGTCATCATTATTAAAATGTTCTACAACATCGGTATCAACTCGTGTGTCAGTATCAAAATCACCTACAGCTGTAGAGCAGGAGTAGGAAAAAGTTTTGGCTAAATACGTTATTGAGTTACCAAACGTATCATAGCAATATCCGCAAAGCGTGTGGGCATGAGTGAAGAGAAGTCCCACATTCACATCCTAAATATCTCTTTGAAGTAAATTACTTTATATGTGTCAATATACAGCATCTTGATTTTGTGAAAAAGATTCAGAATCTTCTGAAAACTTTTTTCAATATCGATGGCATCTAAATGATGTTAATATTGCTTTTTATGCATTGTCCAAATATTCAACATTTGCTTCTTTTAATTTGAAAAATACGTTGAAGTTGACTAGTTCAACTTTCTGTCAATGATGAATTTTTTCAGTAGTTTCAAGTTTTGATAAATTAATTTCGATCGAAGTTAACATAAACTATTATAATGAATATTATCTATCACAATTATTTCTCATAATCAATCGAGCATTTCGTATCTTACGTTAGAGTTGAATATACAATTTTGATCTGAAAAATAATGGTAAATCATACACTGTCGCAAATATGAAGACAAATCAAACAATGACATTAGTCAAGTAGCTACGGTCATCACTTTCGCTTTTGCAAAATTCTTCTATGAAGTGATTCATCAAGAAACATCAAAAAGAGAATCATTTATATTTTTATGAACATTTCAAACTGTTCACTTTCTGCATGTTGCAAAAGACTCCGTGATATCTTTTATACAACTTATTAATACTCGCAATCTTTCTATACAATTTTCGATCTGTTTATTTTATTTGATTGTGCTTCTAATAGAATGTAGTAATGTGAGTGAAAACATCTAATCTAAAAAATCGAGATTTAAGTTTTGAACATACAATTGATAATGTTAGAAAATACTAGAATATCACTAATTCATTTTGCCTTCAAAAGAATAGGAAGGATGGCAAATATAGGAATATGGCTTGTAATTGATTGTTTCATTCATCTTTAATTATGCCATGTAAACTATTTTATACGTATGTTGAATGTTAAGCATGTCTATTTGATTTTATCAATAAAATTTATAACTACAAGCATTTGATGTTCGACATCAAGTTCACAAATCTAAAAAGAAATCAGAGGATGAATTTTTCTCTTGATTTATTCTTTCTAATATCTTTTCTTGGTTTTTCTCTCTCTTTCATTATTTATGTTTAATCACAAATAAAAAAATGAACGAAGTGCATGAGTTAGAGAATGAGAAGACTATGTCGATTAATTATGAAAGAACATGTCATCGTAGTCACCTAAAAGATAAATTACCATAATTAGTAGATCTTTCTTTTTTTTAGATTTACTGTAGTCGATCAGTTCTGCATCCTCCTCAATACTTGTGTTTTGAAGATTGATCTTCTGACGGAGAATACCTATGGGTAAAAACGAATAGGTGAAAGAAATACGTCAAATAATATCGAACCTCCGATGCCATCAAAATCATGCACAAATCGATAACCTTGTTGACTTTTATCCGTCACAATTTCAAGTGTGGCGCCTAATACAAAGGTTGAATGTCAGATGAGTGACTTGTTATCTCTTACCGAATTTCTTGTGATTCTTGAGAAACCATTCGAGTAATGGCATTTCTTCGACATGTTCCCAATCGAAATCTGTAGATTTTTCTTGATCAACAATATATGAACTTATCATTTTTATATCTTGCATTTGACTATGACGTAGAAAATAATGATTTACTTTGAAATTGTCCCATACAATCAATACTTCTATAGACCCCATTTCTAATGCTTTGAGTGTATCATTCACACCAAAACAATAATGACTGCCGTCTTTTGATACTTTATTGAAGTATCGAGCTAAGCAAACGAAAAAAAACAGCAACAACTGAATTTCAATCTCATATGACGAATCAAACTCACCAAGAACTTTTTTCTCGCGTATGAGTTTGATATGATTAAGAGCTTCAATAATCAAATCAATTGCTTGATCAAAACCATTTTCACCATCGTCAGCAATAACTACACGTTCGAGAATTTTTTCTTGAAGACACTACAAAATATCTTCTTTGCTAATAATCATTATTAGAAAGAAAGAACAACTAACAGAATCGAATACATCCAGTTGAAGCTCATTTATGAAAGATTCTTCAGTGGCAAGAATTATACCCGTCACATTGACTTTGTCATCCGTAATAAAACATTGTCGAGCTGTTTCAGATATTTTTTGTACATATTGCTGCTGTTTTTCTCTTCGAAGTCGAGTATATCTAATTGTTCGTGAACCACCAGATCCACACTTTTTGGGTAAGTCAGCCGAAAATTTTGCAATTATATCTCGAGAGTTACCGTGCAAAATTCCGAACAATGCTTCATTCTTACGCAGAATAATAAAGCCAAACCTACAATCTTTGATCAGTAATGGTTGTAAACCCTACAAGAAAAGTTATTAGGGTTACAGAAGATTTTCAGTTCATACACCTCTTGTCATCTACACCTTATGATGTTTTTGAATATTTATGTATGGTCTCACTATAAAATATTTTTTCTTTTTCCAATAATTTCTTAGATATTTTATGTGAACTTGAAATGATGAGAAAAAAGAGGAGATTTCTCAACAAAGTATGATTAAAATCCAAGTACTTCGTTTCTTTCATTAGTCAATAAAAACGAATGAATATAAAAAGTGAAATAAAAACTACTAGATCACACCTGATATTTTGCCATCGACTTGGAATTAGACAACGTTTTTCAACGATGAACAATGATTTCAAGTACGCTGGAAATTAGAAGTTGGAATCCAATTATAATGGTTACGAATTTAATCTTTCAAATGTATGTAACCTTTACTCATTCATAAAAATAAATAAATGTGCACTCAAAGAAAAACTAACGACATATATAGGCAATGTTGCGCAATTCTTCGATTTTTATGATGCAATATTTCGAGGTTCAATGTATGTTGATTTTGAGTCTTGCGCAAGCATTGTGAGACGGCTTATTAGCGAAGGCATCATGTACATATATATCAATTTTCCTGAATTTTTCTATATATAATAAATTAATGTCATGGCTAATCAGCAATTTGTCATATCGTTCGCAAGGGGTCGCTCTTGTATGATTACATTTTGATGTAGTTACATACAATGCTATATGAATGATGAGACACTTCGACACAATTTCATTTAGAAAACTCACTTGAAAAACGATTGAGCGTCTTGCATAAGTTGTTTTTTCGAAAGAATATATCTTCATTTTTTATCTAAGCATTGCCTTTATTTGATTTAGAATATGAGTAGGACCAATGGGCAAATGGATAATGCGCGTTACTGATATGTAATTTCGTATGTTTTACAACAGTTCACCAACGAGAAATTAATTATTGTTAGCCAAGCTTATGTAATATTGAATAAAGCTAGCTTAGCATTTATCAGCTCATCACAGTAAAAGATGTTTAGTAGTAACTGATCCGCATAGACAGAGAGACACTATTCAAAATACTTCAATTAGGAAACTTTTGTAATTTGCGCGATTTCACCAATCCCTTCATCTGGGTGAGAGCATGAGCATAAGTCTTCTCTTCATCCATATCTCCATAATGAACTTACGACTTGACACGACGCGGAAAGCAGACAATTAGACATGATCAATTCATTAAATGCATAAATACAGCCCTTTCTACCTTTGTTAATGCTCTATTTGGATTGCTCGTGATCGTAATCATAAACTTTTTTGCTGCATTATCTCAAAAAATACGCGCTTGCTATAGATGATATTAATGATCCTTTATAACTTTAAGACTAATAAGTATCCAAGTCCACTCATAATTTGTCACTGAATTGAAATATAACGCATAAATTAAGAAATCATACCTCTATGATCACTGTGGAATGTATGAAGCAAACATTTGAGTTGTCTTGAGTTTGATGAACTACATTATTAAAAGTCTACTCAAGTTTTTGTTCTCGTTTGAGTAGAAGCACCAGTTTTCCCATCATTGATCAAGATCGTTTAGCCACCATCGTCATGAATAGTATGTATCCAATCAAAACTATAAGAAGTATCAATTACAAGATGTGTTTTTTTTCAAACATCTTCAATTGATAGTTTTGCCATCAAATTTTCTATACGTTTTGGTGTGTCTATATGCTAAATCTATCGATTTAGAGACATTTGGAAGGTTCAAAGAAGCAGCTACAGTACATATTAGGACTCTTGGGTTTTATAAAAAAAAAAAGAAACATTTTTATCGTATCGATCTACGAAGGTAGTAGTTTCTGAGTTTGCACAACTAACACTGATATAAGTATTGTCTTGAAGATGTGAGTGTAAGTTTGAATATATTTTTCATCCACATCATTTATGCTCATGTATTATTAAGTAAAATACCTATCTAGGTTAATTTTTCGTTTTATTACCAGCATTTTTACCATTGATGAATTGTCAGCATTCTTTTTTTCGCTTCAAATTTCTCTTAAAGGATGAATCAAGGAGAAAATATAATAAATATCGATTTCGAATAAAATAATATGTCAAGTTCAAAGGAAAAACTGTCGTCGAAACGAAGATTTAAGGAGCCTTATTTCCAATTCATTTATTGACAATGAACATGTATAACGAGGATTCATAGACTAACTTATATGTTGCTAAGCTTGCTCTCTTTTCTTTTATCTATCTTTTCTCCTATTTTATCGTTCTGTTGATAAAAAAATTTTCCTTGTTTCTCTTCCCCTTTGATCTTTTCTATTTCTTTAAGAAACAATTCATTTTTTGAAACAGTTCACGCATGAAAAATCATTTCTACCTCACAATAAGTGGCTGTATGCTCAAACATATTTTAATTCCAAACCAGAGCTAAGATTGATAGTTGAACTACGTTCTCAATAACATCTTTGCGTTTTGAATGAAAAAAAATCCGATAAAATCATTTCAATTGGCATCTTTCACTAGACAAAATGTTTATAGAACAATAATTTCAATCTGATACCAAACAGTAGTAGTATTTTAGATAGTCCCAAAAATCACAAGCACATACTGTACTTGAAAACAATATTCCAACATATGATCCCCACATTAGAAAAGGGTAAATGGATGTTGTGTAGTCCTAAAGGAGACGAAAGAAATGATCCTATTAGATATGAGCTTATTTCAAATGGCATATAAATTGTGATAGAAATACTTGAATTTTATCAAAAGTCGATCGTCCTAACCGTATTATTTTTGTTTGCTCTTGTTTATTATATTACTGAGAAATATGCACGAATACAACTTTTCTATCTTTTCAGTGTTAATCGTTTCGTTCAGAAACAGGAAAGGAAGAAACATCAAAGCAATAAAAAGACCAAACAACACAAGAAACAGGGAACGAAACAAGGAAACATCTGCTTAGCTAATAAAATGATTAAAAAATAAAAGTGTACATGTTCGTGCCCAACAAGTGAATTGAAAATAAGGCTCATTCTCTCTCCATTAATATTTCAACATGACATCTGAAAGAAAGCGAACTAAAATAAAGTCGATTTAAAGAAATAAGAGTTAAAACGAAGAATTTTCTTATTAAATCAGTTGTTTGTTTGTAAGATGTTCTTTTCTTTGTCAAAGATTAACATATCAGAATCAATTAAAATAGAGTTCATTCAAAAGATATTAAATCAGATGAAGCAATTGATTCGAAAAAATTTCTGAATAGATTTGATCATTCCTGAAATTGATTAAATGATTTCTCATCTGATCACATTTGTGATCAAATTCACAACAGCTAAAAATTTCGATAAAATTTTGATCCAATAGATATTGATGTAGAAATCAAGGTTTACGTATATGTTCTGCTCACCCTCACCTATTCACATTCACATATTAAGATCATGAATTTCTTTTCTGTGTATTTTTGAATTTTTATATTTATTTCAAAAAAAACAACCCAAATATACTTGATATTCATCACCGACTCATTTTCCTCTTTCAGCCACTTGGATATGGCTATAGATCACGAAAAGAATCAGATCGAGACTCATACCCAGGCTTGCCGATTAGGGGATCTTCGTAAAACTACTTCTTGAAATCGGCTACAGATTTTCTGGTACGCCTGAAAAACTTAGGTGAAGACCTTTTTTTTTTTTTGCTGTTCACTTTTGACTTTTGGGAAAATTGGGGGCCGTCGCTGAGCCATCCACTGTCTCGGTCATGAATTTTTTGAAAAATTGATCACTTGATTTCCGAATGACCCCTAAACATTTTCTGCCAAAATGTTAATTCTCAAAAATTCGGTTGTATCGAATGAGAATATAGAAAAAACTTTTTCTAAAGTATATACCATTTATTTCGTTTTCTAACTATTGCCATCTTTTTCCATTTACATATTATTATGTTTTATAACTACATTTATAATTTTGATTATGAATAATATACCCTAGACGAACTTCTTTTGGTCTGCACAGGAGATACTTGAGAATCGTGATCAAGAAAGTCATGCGCTATGGACAAATCTTGAGGCAAGACTTGAGACCTTTCGGCGAGCTCAAGCTCTTGAACTGCTTGTTCTATTTCTTGATATTATTGCTCATGCGCTTGAATTCTTATGCAAGCGTTTCTGTTATTCAAGAATTTTTTATATTTTTTTTTTTGCAATTTGACATTCAAAATAATTGAACTTGTAATAAAAATTCATAGGTGTATTTTCATGAAACACTCAAGCGTTTGTCTTGAGCAAGAAAGTCATGCGCTATGGACAAAACTTGAGGTCTGCGCAGATCAGGTGTATGAAAAAAAAAGTTCGCCTAGGGTATTGATTATGAGAAAAAATAATTCAAATTCAATATAATAATTATTTAATGAAGATAAGAACACGTGTTCGCAACAATTTCATAGTTTTATGATTTAGGATACGAGACGAATTGATGATGAAGATACACAATAATTAAAGAATAGTACTTCAATTTCAATATAAAGACAACTTTTATCATCAGTAGGTGAAAGTGTTTAACCAATCGATTGATCATCAAAAATTAGATATAAATTCCATAAATTTCTTATTGAAAACTTCATTGTTGTTATACTGATGATTTATTTGAGATATTTACAAAAAAATAACACCGGGATACAAAAAAAAGCTTGTTAGCGCAGCCCCTTTGGGGCTGAAATGTGGAACTCACATATATCCTCTAGCCTCACTAAACGAATATAAAATAGCTAAAACGAAAAATCTCTTGTAGACTATAGTTGTTTTGCAGGACAATCGAACATAAGAGTAAAGACCTCTCGAATTTCTGCATTTTGAACAGAAATCTTTTATTTTTTTCGTCGGGCGTCTTATGTTTTTCTTTTACATTGTTGTTATTCGCTCATTATTTTTCTTTTTTTTTTTTTATTTGTTTTTGTTAATTTAACATTCTTATTATTATAATCATTGAATTAATTGACAAATAAGTCTGTTTTACATATACATGATACCTACAGCAGATCTTAGGCACTATTTATATATGTTAATCAACTTACAAACAATGATATTGATTATTTTTCAAAATTATAACTTAATCAATTTTGCAAAAAACTCTAGAAAGCCTGACGCCTCTTATTCTCGATTCTTAAAGTCTGTAATGGAGAGGGCTGTCTGTAATGGGGTTTGGGGGGAGCCGCCAACCTCGAACTGAAAACTTACACTCACTATTTTCTTCGAAAACATACGTGAGTTCCACAAAAATTAGAAATCATATCTTTTCTCTCAATCACTAATGATAACAAATAATACACCGGTACAAGAAATTCAAACAAAGAGAAGTATTAATGTTACATTAATATATGCCCTAATTATCTTACATTTGAGATGAAGAATAGGTATTGACAGATTTTTGTAGAACAAAAAACAAACAGGAATGCCAAAACAAAAGAATATCATTTGTATTTTTTGGAAAATTTGTTTGTATGTAAATATATACAGAATTTAGTCTTCATTAACCACTCCACATGGGTCAGGATGATTGTCTATAAATAAAAATAAATTTAGTTGTCATATCTAAATAAAAAAAAAACGAATAATACCATGATTATGATATGGCAATGTAAAATCAATTCGATTTTCAGTATTTTTACTATGTATAATTACGTGAAGATTCTCACTACCTTGCATGCATACGGGTGATTCAAATGATAAAATTGTTCCAGCAATTTGAAAACCACTATCATTAAGTTCTTTATCATTACATTTTATATCTAAGTCTATATCAAATGAAAAATAGAATTTCTAGCTACAAAAAAAAAACATACTGTGCTTTTCCTCTGTTGTTTTCAGTGGAACAAAGATCATTTGACCACCTCTTTCACAAAGTTTACTTGGAAAAACACTGTCAATTTTAACTGATTGAGCACCATAAGCTATCATAAAAAAAAAACTTAAAATAGTATATACAAAATAAATTTTCAATCATCATACTTTCTTTAATAAGGTCTGAAAATATTGGTGAAGAAACACATTCGAATTGACCATTAGTTAATTTAACGTAAATAGCAAACATTAATCGGCACCATTTAAGTTTTTTATTTTTGATTAATGTTTTGGTGATAACATTGTTTTGATATAAATTAATCATTTTGAAAGTCAATCTATAATAAATAGATATGACATTTAAAGTAATTAAAAATAAGAAATAAAAGCTTCTCACTCTTTTTGAGACTCATGTGGATAAATCTTTGAAAAGATACCTCTTGTTTTTAGATCAAATTCATCATGATTTTTTTCCTCATTGCGAACTGTCAAACAATTCAGATCGTTATTCTTTAAGTGGTATCCTTCCTTGACGAATGTATTTATAGGCACAATGAATTTTTGCTCATGTTCTTTTTTGTCATATGTTACTGCATGAGTACCAACATACATTTCTTCTTTATATTCTTTTATATTCTCTGGAAACTAGAATGAACAAATAGAAAAATTATTTAGAATATTATTTTTAATTTACTTGTAATTGTAAAGATGCGCGTTGTCCATGTCCTTCAACATGAACTGCTGGACAACGATTATCACGTAATTCCTCTAAATTACGATGATGCCAACATCGTGTTGGTTGATTAACTAATTTTAGTTTAGATAGATTGATTTTATTTTTGGAATTATTATTTGTGTTTGGTACTGATGCTTGAGTAAGGATTAGGTCATTGGACAAAATATCTTGTTCATGATTGTTTGATGCTATTTAAATAAATAAATGTTAGTAGTCAATGACAAATCGTTTATTGATTACTTACATTCATTTAAAACAATATTTCTAGCATCATCACTTTCTACTGAAGTTGATGCCTTACGATTAATTGTGAAAATGTCTACCGCTAAGTCTGAAATTTCTAATAATTGTTGCATCTGAAAAGTAAGAGCTTCACGAATAGGGTTTGGTAACATCATCAAGTGTTGATCAGGAATTTGATATTCTAAAGAAAAGAGATAATTCTTTATTTTCTCTGATTACATTTTCTACTTGAGGTTATAGACGAAAAATTCAAACTATTAAGTTGAGGTCCAATATAATTGATGAGGTTTTGTATATTTTGAATGAGTAAATTACATGCACCTGAAGCGTTCAATATCATTTCTGATTGCTTTTCACGGTTAACTGAAAACATATAGTCAATAAACTGTTATTATTACCAACATAAATGATCTTGAAGTGTTACACAGACCTTTATTGTAGTCTATTGGAGAAGTTGAAATTTTTCCTTCATCAGTCATTGATATATCTTGATCAGATATCTGTTTTACTGTGGCAAAGTCACCTGGCCACGTATAAACTTCTACTGAATTTTCGAATAATTTTAAAATATGTGTATCATCCATTGAGAACATTGTATGGTTTTTTTCGTTATTATCACGTACATAGAAAACATAAAAACTATGATTATTTTTGTCAAATACAAGACAAACACGGGACCATGTTTGATTTTCTTCTACTGACGTAGCATTCATATTGTAAAATCTTTTTTCATTTTGATTAATAATACAAGTATACAAATTCAAAAGGTTTTGGTTTGCAAATTCTTGTAATCGATCTATTTCATCATCAATATCTGCATTGTTTGTTGAAAGCATATCTACTATTCTATTAGTATCAACAGAAAAATGTTCATCAGATGGTGTATTTGTATGACACATTAAAATGAACCCAATACAAACTGATAAGTTCATGGGACCAGCTAAACCAGGTCTAGGTCTATTAATATTAAAAGAAACAAATAAGCTGAAAAGATCAACGGTATCCCATTTACCTTTCTGAATATTGTTGATTCTCTTCTGCAGGAATACTAGACTTGTCATCATCCATAGGCTCCGTACTATTACTCAAAATATTTTCATTTTTTGACGCCATGAAATGAAGTTTTATGTTTAAATCTTCATTAATAAATATAATACGCCTGAGTACACCATGAGCACTGTTATATATTAAACTAACCAATATTGAAGCAGCAGCACATGCCTTTTCTTTCTTATTGCATACATTACGGAGGTAATTCTAACCGTGGTGATGGAAAAATGACGACGTGAATATGCTTTCTTCCCAACTCATTGATATGAGACAAAACGATAATAAAAAAAAAATCAAATATAACGAAGAAAATGTTTCATTTATTTTGGAATCTTTTTTCCTACTCATTTAACTTTCTTTCAAGTATAAAGAAGATTATAAGAAGTAAATATCTCAAAAATAAAAACTTGTAATAAACATTTTATGGTTTATTTTTAAATTAATAAAAATTGTTCTTTTTTGTCATATACATCAGTAAACTGTACCAAAAATTCTACAATTAAGTTAATATAAAATTTCGTGAAAACGTTTTCAATTTATTATTTCTTTATTATTACGGTTAATACCGACAAGAAGCACTGGTGTATAAGCATTGGTATCTGTGTTTATTTCATCCATTTGTCTATCTGTAGATATCCTATATCTTGATCTATTGAATATGTATGGAAACATAATAACAATTTTTAGAAGATGTTAATATCTATGCATTAACAGTAGCAGTTGATACTGATATTTACTTCTTAATGAACTATATCTTTCGAAAGAGCGTCTCAGTTGAAAGAGGACAACTAATTGTTCATTATGTTTCAAATGGCAACGCTGCATTTTTCTTTGGTTTGAAACTTGCAGTAAGAATCAAACTTTGAAAAATTATTTCACGGTGAACTAAAGCTGGAGCCATATGAAACATCTTACAGATATACTTTTTTAAGTCTGAAAGACTATTAATTAGACATGGGTGCAAACAGTTTCGATAAGAGCTTTGCAAATGGTGAGCTTAAAGAAGTTCTTTGCAACTGTCTATAAGTTCGAGATACTTTGTTGCTATATTGTTATTTACTAGTAGCATATTATTTTCTTTGTGACATGTTTATTTATTCATAAGTCATAACTTTTTGATTCGTTTTAGATATGTTTAAAAAGACTCTGTCCCATCTCGAAGGCCGTTTTACCTACAGGGTGGTCCAAAAGTTACCGACCAGACTTAAATTGCGAATAACTTTTGATAGGAACAAGATCTAAACCTGCTGTTTTCACCATTCGAAAGAGCAATGTTCGAACCAGGGTGTGGATGTGTGCTGTGGGTGTGGGGTGTGAGTGTGATAGTCGAGAAGACCCGCACACCCAAACCCACACCCACACCCCACACCTCACCCACACCCACATCCACACCTCACCAGCACCCACACCCACATCCACACCCCACCCGCACGCACACCCACATCCGTCTTTGAAAGATTGTTGGTAGATGGGCAAATGACTTTGATCGATCAGTGAAAGAAGAAGAGTAATATAATCCAAATTGCATTTTCCTCTTGCCATGTAAGATCAGATCGTAAGTATAACCTTTGTGAGATAGGCTTTCTCATCTATGTTGATTGAATAGAGATCGAAGAAAAGGTCAGTGATATATTTGCTTATCAGTGAGAATCTTCTCGAATTCCGTTTACCATTCTTTTCGATTAGGAGCAGGTAACATGAGAGCATTATCGATTATCTAGTGTCTTTGCTATTCATTCGTACTTTTATATTTTTTGCAAGCCAAACAATGATGAAACGATCGTCTTCATTTCTGTTCTTACTCTTACTAACCATATGGATATCCATGTTCACTCGAAGTGAGAAATATGCATTGATTCTGTTTTCGCTATTTTCTAACGCCGTATGATGAAAAAAAACAACACCAATATTATATAGAACTCATTTCTGTAAAACATAAAAACGTGGTTCCTATTCATTTTCCATTGTTTTGGAACACGATTGAAAGTGGGCGTTAAAATAAACAACGAGAAAAGTGAGCTTCGTCTATTCCGTTTCACTGATCCAAGACACATTTGTCTACCACTAATATTTGTCAGATTTAGAACGGAATCTGCAGTACTGTTGCATTTCGTATAAGTGTCTATTCCATTTATTTTCCATTATATCTTATTTTCTCTTGTGAAGTACGATTTGGATTATTCAAATGACTTTTGGAGTTTTGACTTCTTGCCGCGCCTTACTTGCTATGGAATTTAGCAAAGTAGATATTTTAGCATCCATAGTCAAAAATTTATATCAAACTCCTTCCTCTGAGGAACTTTGACAGACAGATATCTTGATATCGCGGACCATGAAAAGCAGTGCTACAGGTTTGTCTTTCTAGCCGTCGTAGAGATAATTGATGTATCTAGAGTTTCGATCGCTAGTAGAGCCCTTTGTTTGTGTTTCACAATTTAGTCCCTTAGAAATTAGGTTAAAAGTTTCTCAGCACAGATTGAGCCACTAACTCAAAATAATGAATTCTTTCATCAAGCAATAAGCTTGCTAAAAAAAACTATTTCGTTGCACATACCAATGATTTGTATTCCTCATACTTTATAGATCTCATTGATTTTTTTTGTAGTGATCGATGCACAACAAAAGAATAAGCATCTACAAAATTCAGCTCTGGTCGTATTGGGAAGTGAAAACAACAATGATATGGGCAAGATAAAAGACAGCAATGGTCTTCCGACTATTTCAGAGAGAATTGCAAAGCAACTGAATCATCCAAATAGATTATCAGACAAGCGTAATGATGGTAATCTGAAGGAAAGACAGCGAATGCTTGGCCGTGAAAGTGATGAAGACGATGAGAATGATTCACCATCCAGAAGTGGCAATAAAGGTTATTTCAGCAAGTATAAAGACAATATAAGACTGAAAAATGGAAAGAATCATGGCTCTTGGTTCAAGCATGAAAGACATCATCATAAATATCGAAGACATGGGAAGAAGCATCCATCTTGCTCCAAGCATGGGAAGCAGCACAAGAAATGTCGAGGATATGGGAAGAAGCATCATCACCACCGTCATCATGACCAGGGTCGCGACGATCACCATTATCATAATCGGGATCGCAACTATGATCATAATCGGGATCGCAACTATGATCATGATCGAGATCGTGACAATCACCATCACCACTATTATCATAATCGAGATCGCAACCATGATCATGATCAGAACCGTGACGATCATTATAATCGGGATCGAAATCATTATTATGATCAGGATCAGGACGATCATCATAATCGGGATCGTGATTATCGTCATCGTCAGAATCATAAGTCAGGCGAAACAGGTGACCACGAAAAAGATAGCAAGGAAGAGTACGAGATTCGTCCAGATCGTTCAAATCGGGATCGTGAAAAACCTTGGAAGATTCAAGAGAGAACCATGGATGATGGGTCTATGCGTCGACGAAAGGATCATAGACGAACATTGGAATTTAAAGATGACTAAACTAATTCGAAATCAAAAAGGAAGCACTCACGGCGGTACTGGAACTTAAAATTATTGTTAGCAAATTCTTTCAAAAAACATCATTGATTATTTTCTTCTTGTATCTACATTTGCAAGGTTTTTCAACCAAAAAATTATTGTAAATAAAGAAAGATTGCTTTGTTCTTTATCCGTGATTTTTGATTCTAGAAGTAAAGCAATAAATAAACATAAGTGATGCTTTTTTGAGTAGTATTCATTTTGAACACCTAGAGAAAAACAAGCAAATAATTTGGCAAATAGAAACAAGCAAATGAGAAAATGAAAGCAGAGTTTTTGTTTCCTACAGACCCTTCATCAATGAATACAGGGTGTGGGTGTGGGTGTGATTGAAGAGAACACAAAAAGACCATCCCTACACCTACACTCACCCAAAATGAGCATATTCAGTGTTAAATTGTTATATTATAACAGTCAAATGGCTCTTGATGCTTAAGATCGAATTGAAAACAAAACTAAAGCATTGCTAATCATTTTGTTCCTTTACTTAAGAAAGCTAAACTTAAAGAAACGCAACAATAGGAATTAGATTTTTAGCTTTGCTAATGCAGATTTCCATTTAAAGCATCAAGATCAAGATTTTGGCGACAAGCACTTATGCTGAAAAATAATTTGGACATCAATTGTTTTTTCATCATAGATTTTCTTCAAGCTATCCACTAGTGTTTCAATGCTAACCCGTCTTTTTCTTTCAACTAATTAGAATGAAGTTTAGTTTATGTTTTCGATAGAAACTTTCGTTTTACATATCTTTTCTTTAAAATTTATAATTGAACTATTAACCCTTTGGTTACCGGCATAAGAAGAAAAAACCTGTTCTTTCAAAAATTTTTGTAACTTTTTTTTCTGATCCGGTTTAACAGAATTTGATGGATATAACGTTAAATCTTTTTGTAAAATATGATATTCTTTGAAATAATCGGTAATACACAGACCAACGTCGCATTTGAGACATTGCTAGCGTGTATCGCTTTGTGTTTCTTGTCACTTCGTTTAGTGTTGCCAAAAACATGACATCTTCGAGGAATTTGACTGCTATCATTTAAAAGAATTAGAGGAGGAAAATGCCTGGTCGTCAGTCGTAACGTATGATGACTCAATGCTTTTCCAATATGTGCCCTGTTGGAGCCATACTTTACCACTAGTCCTCGAATAACTTGCGGTTTGAATTTTGGAGTTGGAGATGTTGTTGTATCATTTTGATTGGATTCTGATCTGCAGTTTTCTGAAATTTCATCGAATCCCGATCTGAAAGACGACATCGCCATGTTGTCATTTTCACAAAAAAATATAGTAAGTCTCAATTTGTTTTTAAGTTTTTTCAATATGTAATTATAATCTTGAGATGTTGGATGAGTTAAAGAAAATACTAAATGCAAAACTGAACTACTCAGAAAAAGAATCATTTCATACATCTGGCTCAGAAAAAAAAAGAATACTCTGGAATACACCAGTGTAAAATCAAAAGCACGACGAAAAGAACGATAAGAAAAGAAAAGAAAATACATTAGAATAATCCACATGGACAAGAAGAAAACAGGAACCTGCGGCACTTGTGGCGCTCATATACTTTAAGAGAAAGAGAACAAAAAATAACTATGTGTATACTAAACTGATCCCACATCCCATACCCTCCTTTTTTAAAGCACGGCTCACAAATATGCCATAATAAAATGATGATATAACAAGCTTTAGCTTTCTGGCGCTTAGTTTTAGCTGAAGAGAACCTAAAAAATATACATTATTAATGATTGCGTTTGTTCCAGATAATGATAAAGCTCATGACGCATATATGCGTCGTCGGTAACCAAAGGGTTAATTGATAAAGTTAAAATCAATTCATATTGAAAAAAGTCTGTTTCAACTCGCTATTCTTCAGGAACTAGGTGCAAGAAATAACAGATTTTTATTTTCTTGTTGAGCAAGATTATCGATGCTTGCTGTCTCTTTTTCAGAACTAGAATGAAACGTTTATAAAATACAAACAACGTACAAAATCTTTTTATTATTCATCATTTATTTTTTAATTTAACATTCGCTTGAACTTGGAATTTTATTCGAATTTTCAATTAAAAAAACACATAAATGTAAGCGATCATGTAATGATATGAAACAATCAGCAATATTATGAATAGAACGAATAACTCGATCAGCATTGTGCTAAATAAAAAGCTTATTTTATTTTATTTTATTTTATTTCTCAATCCAGGTATTTTCATTGCTAGTAATGAAAGAAAAGATAAATAAAATGAACAATACTGATTAGTTCATATAATGAACTAAAAGATTTTCCTGCACCATTCAATAAGTTTATGCATCATATTGACAAATTGGACGAGATTTATCACTTTATTTTACTAGCTTTAAACTAAACTCATGAATTGTTAATATTTGATGGGTATTCTCAACATTTGTTGCTTATTGATTGAAGTTATTCTATGAATATTATACTGTTCATCATTGGAAAGAAATAATAACTAAAGTTTAAATCGAATCGATTCATATTAATAGTTATACACGTTTTGATTATTGATCAATGCATCTAATTAGTGCCTTAAGCAGTTACTTTATTTTTATGATTAATTCATTAAAAAATGAATAAATTCATTTTGTTTGAATCAATCGTTTTTTTTTGTAGCGAATTCGGTTGTGTAGACCAGAGCTGGGCAACTCAATTCAAAAAACGGCCAACTCAACTCAATTCAATTCAATTCATGAACCTAGTTGAATTGAGTTGACAAAAATTTTTCAGGGACTACTAGTTGAATTGAATTGAGTTGAAACATTTTTCAAAGATATACTAATTTCTTTGAATTGAATTGGACAAAACTTTCAAACATCTATGAATTGAATTGAATTGAGTTGGGAAAAAAATCTTAATCAAGGAATTGAATTGAATTGAGTTGGAAAAAGATATCCTGAGATCACTGAATCGAATTGAGTTGAATTGAAAAAATTTTCAGAGCCTACTGAATTGAATTGAATTGAATTGAAAAAAATCTCGAGGTCACTAAATCGAATTGAGTTGAATTGAATATCTTTTTTGGAGATGAGTGAATTGAATTGAATTGAGTTGAAAAAAAACTTCGGAGATCACTGAATTGAATCGAGTTGAATTGAAGCATTTTTCTCGAGATTTGCAAATTCATTTCAATTCAATTCAACTCAAAGATATTTCTGAAACTGTTGTTGTATGATCAATTTACGCATTAAAACTAATGAAAGATCAAGGTATGAACTATGATCTATTTTTTGTAATTTTTCTTCCGAGCTTCTATTTCAACATAGCTGCATTATACTTGCATTTTGATGTATATTTCTGATGCGCTTCAGTCAACTTATCACTATTTTCTTTTCTTTTCTGATGGTTACGTATAATTTAAGCACCTAAGCTCTCAACGTATCGATTTGTTTTCCTATTCTTTCAAGTGACAGATACAATGTCCATTTATCCTTGTCTTATAGGGCAATATCATGCAAATCATTTGTTTGTTGACTGGTATGTTATCTATTGGGAATGCATACCTCTTATACTGTATACCTCTTTTGTTCATTATTGTTTGATTCAGTTATGACCTTCTCTTGTAGTCTGGCAATATTGTTGAATAAATAGTCCAAATCGTTCTACAGTAGATAACTCTAGTTAAAGTCAGACGTGAAGGAAACGAAATACCGAGGTGAGTTGAATTCAATTCAATTCAATTCAGTAATAGAGTTGAATTGAATTGAGTTGAAAAAAAGTTCGTGTTCGATGAGTTGAATTGAATTGAATTCAGAAAAAACTTTCGAAGTCATTGAATTGAGTGGAATTGAGTTGGAAACAATTTTCAAGATACATGAATTGAGTTGAATTGAATTGGAAAAGTTTTTCAGGATACATGAATTGAGTTTTAATAAAACTGTCAATCAGCATGAATTGAGTTGAATTGAATTGAAATATTTTTCCAAGATGTATGAATTGAATTGAATTGAATTGGAATATTTTTTCCAAGATGCATGAATTGAATTGAGTTGAGTTGAGAAAAAATTTATAGTATCTATGAGTTGAATTGAATTGAGTTGAAGTTTTCTTTCAATGAATTGAATTGAATTGACCACCATTTTGAGTTGAGTTGCCCAGCTCTGGTGTAGATTGAGAATCTAGAAGAATCTTTTTCTAAGGTATATACCATTTATTTCGTATTCCAACTATCGCCATCCTTTTCCACCTACATATTACAATGAATAAAAATCTACTGGTTGAAAAAGCTCAACTCGATGAGCATCTGATCTTTTACTATCCTAGAGTGATAGATAATATATTTCACAACTACGTTTATCATTTTGATTATGAATAATATGACCATTAAAACGATCGACGTTCAACAAATATAATTAGGTATTAGGAAGAAAAAAACATTGACCACGAAAAAAAAAAATTCACGATTAATTTAATTATTATTTGACAAAGATAAAAAGAATGTGTTAGCAACAACCTCATAGTTTTATAATATAGGATACGTAGCTTATTGATGATGAAGGCATACAAATATTCAAGAATGATACTTCGATATCCATACAAATACAATCTTCATCATCACTAGATGAAAGATTTAATTAATCAATTGATAATCAAGAATTAGACGGTGTGGGTGTGGATATGGATATGAGTGTCTGGGTAGTTCTTCTCTTAACCTATGCTCACAATCACAGCCACACCCCATACTTACACGTACAAACTACCGAGAAAGAAGCTGGCCTCCTTCATATTAATTTGAAAACAAATTGGCATGCGTCTTTACCTCACAGTTTCCCATAAATTTATCACGTAATGAAATTTCTCAAAAATGAAAAGATTTTATAGGATCCATTTTACAGTACTGATGAATCAATAGTTTACATGTCATTTTTTCATAATTCAATAGAACTAAAATAAAATGTTTCTCTAACCGTAAGTTAATCGATCTTTTTTATGTGTGTCATACTTGAAACAATAAGACTATTCTTTCCTTTTTAAATAATTTCTTTCAGTCATTAAAGTCATTAGTCAAGTGTGACTGTGGATGTGGGCGATGGTGCACGTTGTTTCAACACCCACACCAACACACACCGCATGATGCTTCTAAAACTAATACTTACTCTTTTTTAATACTATGTAGGTATACTATGAAAAGGATTAAGTAGTGACATAAGAAAAAAATTCATTATACTATTTTCATAACATACTCATTACTTCAAGCTTAGGCTTTATCATAAAATCTTTTGCATAATATGAAAAATGATAATCAATAATTGATGATTATGATTAAATCTCAAGTATGAACGACAAATATTCGTAAGTTTTTAACAATTCTACATTCGACAAGTCAGTAAATTTCTTGAACTACATAAAAAAGATCGTCATTGTAGCATGAAAGTATGTCTATTAGGAAATACAAAATCATAAATGTACTAGCAGAAGATTACACGCTCAGTTATTTGAGAAAAGCAAATATGAAATAGAAAAACTTGAGTAATGCTTTAATGCGCTCAGTTGTCAGATCTTCTGAATGATAATCGTAAAGTATATATCATACTGTTTTCTGTTCATTTCGTATATAAAGAGAAAAACACATGCAACGTCAAGTATTGACTCGTTAACTTTGATATTTAATTATTTTCAGTTTTCAAGCTTTTTCTTTTTCGAAATTATATGATTCTATTCTTCATTAGAATTAGAAACTCTAATAATTTGCGAAGACTACAACAAAATTGATTCTTATTTGATCTTTCGTATGCACAATGCAAAATTAATTTTATGTCCAATTTTAAAATATGACTTATTTTCTACATATCTACACTTTTGTCTTAATGGAAGGTATTTTAAAATTTTAAACGAATGAAATAGTATTTATTATGTATGAAAAACAGTCATATATTCAGTATTTTTCATACATCTACATTATATATTCCTCAGATTTTTTGGGCTTTCCAGAATTCATAAGATTTCTATAAGTCATTATGAATAAATGAAAATGGATTCGTTTGATTAACTATAGTTAATGTCAGAGATGAAACCGGTATAAAATTTCTCAGACCGGTACCGGTTTCATCTCTGGTTAATCTAAATTGATTATCATTAACAAAACAAATTTCTTTTACTGATGACATATAATAAATATCATGGAATAAAACGGTATAATACAAAGGACAACGGGACATTTCAAAACTAACTGAGACTCAGTGGAATATTTTTGTTATGCTAAGCAAAATTTTTACATATTACCTTGTTATAAAACTTAACGAAAGTCAAGTGAAAGACAGTTTTATACTCTTTAACGGATGATTTATAGATAATGAACGTCTCAGTGTTATGAATATAGTTGTTGCCCTTATCAACTCTTCGATCTGATTGTTTTATCGAAAGATGCACTGCTAAATTCTCAACGAAAACTTCCTAAGAATTATTTCTATCGACTGATGAGAAGATAAATTACACGGAAAATATGTAACACTCAGAAACGGACCAACTTTTCAAACTGAAAGATTACTTTGCTCAGGTGCTTTCATTGAGCGAAGTACTAAAACTAAAAGAAAATAGGCATATTCTGTAAACTTTGAAACGATTTATTGTCCAGTATTGATTGAAAAGATTATTACTACAGCTTCTACAAAATGTCTAGTAGCTAAGCACAAATACCATCTTTTGAGCTTAGATTTGTTTTATATCACATTTATAGATGAAATTTTAACCGATGTCTTTCTTCGTAAATTCAGTTAGCAAAGGATTTGAAAAAGCAGCAGATTGCGACCATTTTCAATAGAATTTTGTAGTATGTTAGAGTTGTCAATATCGACTCGATCTCAACAGACTCATAACTATGTAACGAGAAATAGGACAAAAATTATACTCAAAATACTGAGAGGTTCGTTATTTATAGGCTACTCGACAGTTCTGGTTTTTTTTTTATGAAAGGCACTCCACTATTTCATTGTTTTTGTGTTATTCAAAAGTTTTAAAACTTTTATAAGGCTGCAAAAATTTCAAAAAGTATAAGAATCATTTGTTTCATATCTATATTAGACTATCAATTCAAGAAAAGATTGTGTATTCTCCTTCGACAATATGAACATTGCCACTATTTTAACAAGATCTATTCTATCAAGTTTTTCTCTAAATGTGTCAACAAGCAATGATTGAGTTACAGCTAGTTCAAAGACTATATTTAGTTGATATTTTTGTCACTCTTAATTATTACAGCAGTACTTTTATTCAATCAAACCGAATGAACGAGAACGCCATGAAAAAGAAAACAGATGCTCGACAGCAGACATTTTGCCTTTTAAGCACATGATTTTATGCTTGATATATTTTACATACTACTCTGCATGAACAAAATAAAAGATGCTATAAAGAACTATACCAATATAGATAGTCAATTTTATCACCATCAAAATGTTTTCATCTCAATGGATAGATAAACATGTAAAGAATTTCAGTCTCTGCATTGAAATAAGTGTCGTGTAACCAACAACACTAAATTCGGCTGTCATCAAATTGTAGAGACATAATTCAGGTGAGGCTCAAGCTTTTTTGAACCTACATGTTTCATCAGCTATGTTCTAATATTTCAGTCAAATTTTGTTATTCTGTTCTACCACGTCACCTTGCACAACTCGTTGCGAACGTCATTTACCTTTGATAACCACTTTTCTAGAGCAGCGATAACAATGGGCTGATACTATTATCAACTGACATATATATGAAGATATAGCAACATTATTCTTCTTTTTCTTACTACTATACTTGCCACACCTTTAATGCATATATAAGGTTAATTTCTTCGGGGTCATATTCCATTTCTAAAAAAGCATCTCTACGTAATAAGAAATGGCCATTAGTTTTCAAATAATGTATTCTCTCTCTTCTATATTACTATGACCCCTTAATCTAACAGTAACTTTTTCATGTATCAATTTTTATGCAACGTAATCATTCACATAAATTTGGCCTATATATTATATGTAAAGATCTACGTCATGACACAAAAAAAAACATCGAAAAAAAATAATAAAACAATGAAATAAAGTCAGAACTGATAGTAGCTATAACTCTCCATAGAATGCTTTTATGTTTGCTATGATTATTGAAACGAATGTATATGACTTTTTAACATTTGCTTTTTATTTATACTATCAAAAATACTTTTATTATTTCGAACTAAGATTTTATATTCTTTTTGCAGATATTCTTCATCAAATAGCAATAATCATGCTGCAATCTTTCTTCTTCAAAACGAGAATAATACCTGTTATATTAGCACATCGATCAATTTTATCAATTCAAGCAAAGAAATTGTCTTATAAAACACGCATTCGACGATTGTATAATGATGGAATAGATTTAAAACAACAAACTATCGAAATTAATCCTATAGAACGTGTTCGACGATGTTCACTTCACAAAAATGATGATATTTGGACTTTATATAAAACAATGCATCCTAACGTACGAACACTTGGTGATACTTTGCATGAAGGATATATTAATTCAAAAGATGGACCATGTTTAGGTGTTTTAAAATCATCGAATGGTATTGATTCATTACAATGGCTTTCTTATTCCAATGTTAAGGAACAATGTCGATACATTGGTTCATATTTATGGGCAAAAACAAAACTAACACCGATGCAATCGAAAGTAGCTATTCTATCATCCAATCGTCCTGAATATTTGTTTGCTGAACAAGCATGTTATAAGTATGGATTTATTGTTGTTAGTCTTTATACTACTTATGATGCTGCAACTATTTTAAATGTCCTTCAAAGGACTCAAGCTGAGGTACTTGTAGTCGATAATTTGAAACGTATTGAAGCATTTCAAGATGATTTATTGAACAATAATCAAATCAAGGAGATAATAGTCATGGATGACACAAACTATGACGAGAATAGTAAAATTCACTCGCTTTCAACAATATTCAAATCAATAAAGAATAATAATTTATGTGACCGACCAATAATTGATCCAGATAGTATTGCTACGTTTATCTTGACGAGTGGAACAACAGGTAAAATTTAAAAACAAAAATGAATAATCGTAAATGTCAATCATTTGTTTTTATAGGAGAGCCAAAAATTGCTATGTTATCCCATGAAAATTTGTTAGCAACAGCAAAAGGTCATCTTATACGTTTAGACAAAGCTAATATTAAAAGACCTTTAACTGATCGACATTGTTCATTTTTACCTATGGCTCATATATATGAAAGATTTATACTTTTACAAGGTTTATTACGTGGTACACAAATAGTATTTTGTCCAGAACCTGAAAAACTTCCTAATTACTTATCAATTGTAAAACCATCTCAAGCTTCTGTGGTACCTCGTGTTCTCAACAAAGTTTATGATGCAGTTATGGCTGAAGTGAATAAAAGTAAAGTAAAACGATTTCTTGTTCAACAAGCACTACGTCAACAACCGTCGTTTCTATCACATTTTGCTTTTCATAAAATTAAAAATCTATTTGGTAATAAGGTAAAAGTAATGATAACAGGTGCAGCACCAATCACACCAGATGTCATGCATTTTTTTCGTATTGCACTCGATATACCAATTATGGAAGGATATGGTCAAACAGAATCAGCAGGTGCTGGTACAAGTACTCATCCAACTGATATGTCATATGGTACAATAGGATCGCCTGTACCAGTCGTTGAAATCAAGTTAGTTGATATACCCGACACAATCTATCGCAGTGAGATGAATCAAGGTGAAGTTTGTATCCGTGGACCAACTGTTTTTAAAGGTTAGCCGAATCAAATAGTTGGTATGATAGATTTTTTCAGTGTGCTTCTTTTCTTGATAGGCTATTATGGTGATGAAGCAAAGACAAGGGAAGTCATTGATAAAGACGGCTGGTTGCATACAGGCGATGTAGGCGAATGGACAAACAGTGGTGCATTGCGTATTATTGATCGTACGAAACATATATTTAAACTAAGTCAAGGAAAATACATAGCACCAGAACGTCTTGAAGATATTTATATTCGTTCTCGTTGGGTTGCACAAATTTTTATTGATGGAATTTCTACTGAAGAAACTGTCGTAGCTATTGTGATACCTGATGAAGAATATGTTCGAAAGAATTTTCAACCAATAGCTAGTGAAACATCATTTGCTGATTTATGTAAGAATACAAAATTAAAAGAAATTATTTTATCAGATTTAAAACATTTATCAGAAGAGTATAAACTTAAAACTTATCAAACATTGAGCAATATTCATCTTCATTCTGAATTATTTTCACAAAATAATGGACTTCTTACAGTAACACTGAAAACACGACGAGCAAATGCTCGAAAACAATTTCAATCAATAATTAAATCACTTTATCAAGTTAATCGAATTCCAGCAAGCAAACTTTCATAGAAATAATTTGTATTTGATTAGAATTTTTTGTATATTAATTTTTTTTATTCAATTTAATTAATTTTGATTCTTCTTCGTACACTCTCATTTTCCATAGATAATTATGAGTGAGTAGTTAGTCTTGATATAGGTGTGATAGGATTGTGAAAACAGTGAAGGGAGTCAACAATTGTTGATGAGTAAAAAACGGAAGACAATCATGAAGTTTCACTAGAGATCAGTGATTATGTCCTAAGATTGGTGATATACCCATTCAACTTCTACCACACCCCGAACAACAATAGTCATGTATGCATATAATGTCGGTCATGGTTTTGAATTATTAAAAAAACGATAAAATTGACTGGTACATAGTAGTAATAATATTAGAATATTGTGTTTTAGAATGTCTTAGAAAATAATATTGAAACGAATTTCTCTGAATAAGTTTAAACTAATATTCGATTTTGCGCGAAAAGTTCAAAATTACAAAGTCAACCTTGTCTTTCTGTTATTTCTTTAAGTACCCATTTATGAAATCTGTATCAACGGCTTAGCAGAAAACAATACCATATAAAATAGATCAGCTATGAAAACAGTCTTTCTTCTGTTTTTCACAGAATTGGTAACTTGTGGGTGACATACTAAAAATTATTATCAAAATCTCGGTGTAATTATGCACTTTCATCCTATTATGGATTCAGTATGATTGAAAATCAAAAAAACGAGTCTAGTGGGCTCATTTGGTTAGAATTCTTGAAAAATCATCTTGAGATGGATCTTATGTCCTGATAGACACCAGTAATAATTTTGAATTAATTTTGCTTTTATTAAAATTATGTTCAAATCTATCTTAGAGGTCTATTTATTTCTTTTTTCAAATTGAAAATTTTTCAAAAATAAACTTAATTGTTTAACAACAAATGAATAAGAGCCTAACTAAAGAATACAATATTTTTAGTTTAGTATTAAGTTAAGAATTATTTAAAAGAGTCAAATAGCAAATGTTTTATTCGATACTGATACAAATATTTAATTAGCAATTGAACATCAAAATCGGTTTCGATAATGAATTTGAAATAGCTAATGTATGACTAGGATTACTAATGTGGTAAATATACATAAGATGATAGAAAGACTGTTTCATCGTTATTTATCGACTTTTCTACGAATTGAAAATGACTTTCACTCAATGAATCATAATTTAAGATTTGTTGCTATACATGTAAATAACATCTTACAACCGATTCTAGATCATCATTGTAATAATTAAAACACACTAAGTAGTTTAATAATAGTATGAAAAATAGTAGGGGAAAATTGAGATAACTGTTAATAGAAAAAAAAATATCAGTAGGGAATCACAGGTTGAAATTTGAGTGCCGGCATAAAAAAATCACTAACTATCAATAAGTTTTATAAAATATGATTTGCTGTCATGAATTGATAAATTTAACAACAATCAAAGCAATACATAATAACCACATTAGAGTTATTTATGTTCTTCAGAAAATAAAATAGTGCATAAGATAATACTGCCATATGTTATTTTACTTATTTTTTCTATTTCTTTAGATAAAAATAATTAAATTTTTCTATGTATTGTTTCAATGCAAAAAAAAAGAATAAATAATATTCTATATGATTCAAATCTATATACTCCTGGTTAATATGTGCATCGTCGACATCTTTTTTTTTCTTCGATGCATTACCTTGCTCTGCTTTCTAATTTGCTCTTATGATGACGAATTTTATGTAACTTGGCATTATTCTAGGTCTGATAATTGATTCATTAACAAATTTAAAAAATGATGTTACACCTAACTATGTATGTTTCGATGCATAAAAATGCCCTATTTGATAGCCTAGAATAGTTTCAATGGAAAAAATTAACTTACTCATATATTGCTACACTCTGTTGTTCGATAGAGCATATGTAGATATTTTTTGGATCGAAATACATGTCAACACATTTCAAAATTTCTAGTTAGAGCTGTGTTCAAATGAAGTTTAATAATTTTTGCTCTTGGCATGGAAACAAAGTTTAAATGTGAAAAGCATCCGAATGTCGTTGGAAAAATATTCTAACTGTGTTTCAACACATCTATTCTGCGCCTGGCGCTTATATAGAAGATAGTTGAGATGTATTATTTTTATATGATCAAGCAGATCTTCTTATACATCTATCGTTAACATTTAATTACGGTTAATAAAATGTTATGTGCAAGTTCTTCTCATTTTCTTTGTATAGAATTTTAAAAATGCGTTTCATATCATCGTGTTGGTGACAAATTCAAGGGTTGTTATTATGATGAAGATGAATCATTCTCTGCATGTCAGATTCAGCTAAGCACTTGTTATTTGTAGCAATTGAGAAAGGACGTCCAAGCTGTTCTTAGGCAGAACATAGAAGAACTGAGAAGGTATATGATATCTTGTCGTGGATAATGTTTTCATTTATATGAGACGAAGTTCTAGAAGTTCTAGAAATAGACGAAGTCATAATGAAATCACTAAACTTAATTGTCCCAATATGAAGTATTTAAGGAACGAAATTTAGTACAAAAATAAAAATTTGAACCTTAATTATTGTTTACTAGTAAATCATGTTTCATGAATGGACAGATAATTATACAGGAGATGAATTAATTCGGAAACTCTATTTCAACCATTAAATTTGTAACATGAACAAATTTTATTGCTACTCATTTAACATATACTGTAGGAGTATCAGTGAAGATAACATTTATAGTCATCTTTCGAAAACAATGAATGATATAAAGAAACGTGTCTTAAACACCAAATATTCGATATATATGGATCTCCAGAAAAAATATGGCCTACAAAATCTATACTTCTATCGACCATTTCTTAACTATTTCGTGGCGAGTGTGGTAGTGCTGTTGACTCAAATTCACACCTAGCCACATCCACACTCCTTAATATTTAATAAATATTTTGATCAACTGTTGCTCTAATTAATATCAATCTAACCAGCAATTATAATTCAAAAATGAATAAGCACATGGATCGATAACCGTTGTCTACGGTGACCATGATTTGTGTTGTATAAGTGTGAGTGAATATTTCAAATATTAAGATGAAAGTATCTTTTTTACAAATGTCGTTTTTCTTCTATTGCAAACTTGTTGACGATCAGTCGCATTTCTTTTTCAGTATTCTTGTTGGATATTTTTAATTTATTTCTTACTAGATAATGTGCATCAAAATTTTTTCACGATAAAAATATATCCAATTCAAATAAAAATGATTCAACTTCGGAAAGAAATGTTATAATTTAGTTTGATAAGTAGACATTGTCTATTATGTTAAATGACTTTTTGCGTGATACGAATCGGTTTTAGATGAATCAGAAGGATAATCAATAGATAGTCTTCAATCTTCTTTTTTTCTTTCTCTACTTGTACTTACGCAAAAAGAACCTTCGTAGAACAGAAAAAAAAACAGTCCATGTCTAGTATAGTTTTGTTCTATTCTTAAATTTGCAGTCGATCACCCTAGGCGTAGTTGCTCATGAGAAAATAGTATAAAAAGCACGAGAAAACAAAGCATAAGCATCTAGCACAAACTTTTCTTTACACAATAAATAAATAAGCAATGTCATCAGGTCAAGGAAGTAGCTCAGCATCTGCTCCTGAGAGCGCAATAAAAGGCGAAACAAGTGGAACTGGTTTAGGTCCAGGTGGTCAATATCATAGGAGATCATCAGGACACAGTTTCCGTGTAGATAATGCACCTGGGAGTGAAACAAAAGGTGGTAGTGGTGCTGGTGAAAGTGGTTAGTATTTACTATAGTGAGATGCCCATATCAGATTATATGACGAAAAATCAATATTTTGTTTAATTTTTTGTAATATGAACAATGTAGTAAGAAATCTTTCTTATTAGTCAATGATTTTTTACACAGAGAAATTATGGCCTCAGTTAATTCTGTTACTAATGAAGAAAAACAAATATAATTTTCCTTTTCTTTAGGTTCATCGGGTTGCAATCAACAAAAACATTGAATTCTAATGTTTTTATCAACTTCACACAATATTGACTTTTCGAAAACTATTTCTTGTATATAATCAAGCATTTTATTTTTCGACATGTCCAGAATATAAGCACGCACGCACTAATCTAATAAAAAAACAAACAATTTAATTCTTCTTGTCATGAATCAATTGTCAACAATGAAAATATAAATTTTGTTTCAAGAAAAGTCAGGTTTGGTTTTCTTTTCGTTAAATAATTTATCAAAATACAATTTGTTTTTAATTAACAATTCAAAATAAATCTTAGTTTTCGATAACTTATTTTTGAATTATAAATAAATTTTATTATTTATTTATAAAAAACATTGAAAAAAACTTTCATAATCAATTGTATACACAATGTACTTTACTAGACGAAAGAAGACCGTATCGAATAAAAACGGTGTTGTTTTTCTAATAGATATAGTAGAATTCGTTAGTTTCTTTTCTGTTTTATGAATTGTGTGGCTTTTATAAGTATAAAACAATAAGAAAGAAAAAAAAAACAATTACGAAACATTGTAGAAAATGAAAGTCTACATTCTATTGAGTTTATCTAATCATGAATAAATTCGATCTAGAAAAGGTTCAATTACATCATGACATTTACTACGCATCTCTTCATCGCTTTCTTCCAACAATTTTACTACACTTTTGATAAATCAAAAAAGTTGAGAATTAATAAAAATCAATATGATCATCAACACTACGAAAACTATTATTGATTATTATAATAAATCTGGTCTAATAAACAAACTAAAGTAAAATGAAATTAGATATGAACATCTATTGTTTAATGAGAACAAATTATTTCGTGAATAAAATAAGTAAAATGATCAATAAATTAAATAGTTATAAAATCAGTAAATTATTATAATAATCAGTTAGTGATAAACAAGGTTTGTTAATAAATTCAAAAAAACATCACTATATAAAATTTATTAATAGTCAATTAAATCAAATATGAAAAACAGAAATAAAAATATGTTATAATTTGATTTTCTATGAAAATGAAAGAGTTTGTCAAAGAAGAAATCAAAATATTGATTTAACGAAGCTACAGTGGATAGTGTTAATGGAACAGAAGCATCAATTAGAAATGAATAGTCAGAAAATGAAAGAACAGTCTATGACAGATGCAGAAATGCCAAGTATCGTGAATTGTAATGTAGAACAAGTATTTATTTGCAATATTATACAGCCATTCAAAAACTTAATGTTTATGAGAGCGCCTATAGGAGACCAAGAAACTAAGGTGCTTTTTCAAATTTAATTTTATATGTTTATTCGAAAGAGTATCATCTAAAACTGTCAAACACAAATCTTTAGCTCATTTGAATTTTCTGTTGAAAAGCTAGCCTATACCAACTTTTTAGTACTACGAGTTTAATGCCAAGAAGACATTCAACATTTTTCTAATTACACTCAATGAGATTATACGTTAACAATTCAGAGAATATTTTTCATATCATATACCAAACAACAGAAGATCAAAAGCTGAGAAAACTAGCTGTCTACTAGATCAACATGAATGAAAAGGATCTAAATTTACCAGTTGATAATGTCCGATTTTTGTCAGTATATCTGCTGCCATTTTTTGAAATCAAAAGATGTCATATTGAATTTTTCATATCTTACATAACTTTGGATTCTCGGCACAAAAATTTTCCATCAATGTAAAAATTGGCTAAGATTAGTAGTAACCAGCTATATGAAATTTTTCATTGCTGAGATGTTATAATTCGGTCCTAGATGTAATAGTTTCATGAATGAAGTACGCTAAAAAGTATTTGAAGTCATTTTTTTTCGATGCTGCTTACCTGACTACTACCCGTGTAAGCTATTTTTCGTATTGACAAGAAATCTTTTTCTTAAATAACTTTTGAACCATTTTTTAGGAGATGAAAAACTCAGGCTGGCCTCTTTCGATTTCAAAAAATGGTAGCAGGCATACTGACAAAAGTCGGACGTTATTGACTGATAAACTGAACCTTTGTTCATTTATGTTGGTTTTAGATAATACTCTTTCGAATGCACTTAAAAAATAAATGGAAAAATTTTAACGAATGTTTCGGTTTCTTGGGTCTCTTCATGAGTACTCTCTGAATGATCGATTGCAATAGTATTCACAAATACAATAATAAGAATCGATATTCTCAAGGACGAGACACGATAATATTGCCAGTCTTATACAGACAACATCATTCTGTTGAAAACCTCTAAAATCATTAGGTATTTGAAGAAAGTGTTTCGATGAAAGCAATATATAAAATACTATTGTTCTCACAGATTGCTGTTATATTCTACTCATGATGATATTTTAAAAAATACATATATAAATTAATTTGATTTTTATATGAAAAAAAATTGCGTATTTATAATACTTAGGATATATAATCGTATCACAACGATGAAGATACGCTATAAATATTTCAAACATATATATTTACGTAGTTTACAAATGATCGAAGTATAAATTGAATTTTTTTTTATCGGCTTGATCAAAAAAAAAAAATAATATTTTTACAGTTCAAAAAAAAAGAAAAACAAGAGTATATGCTTATGGTCTATTATTTTTAATGTCAAATTCGCTTATTGTTCCTCGTCTGGTTGGTTTATTGGAATCCATATTGATACTGTCGATTTGAGCTTGTTTTCTAGGATCACCTGTTCCACCAGATGGAGATGGAGAAAGCGAGTTTTGATCATTTTGACCTTCGTGGTGTAACGTTATGCCAAAACCACTACAGCCAGTATTGCTAGATGAAAAAGACATTAGTATACGAAGCAACACCGAGTAAAAAATGAAAGTAAGGATATATGAAAAGGGTATCTTTTTATATCACGTTAAACTACGCATTTTTTTTTCTCTCTCTTCTTATCGTAACCTTCATTCTGTTCTTTTTAATCATTTTTTTTTTCAATAACATAAAATAAATGCGCAATAGATAGCGACATTACTTGTATCTCAAATATTTGTTTTACTAATAACATTTATATTTCAGATTAAAACTCGACATGTATATACGCCAATTTTGCTCAATATGTCACATTTATACAATATCAGAAGAAAAATTAGTACTAGAAAATTCCTTTGTTGTTGATCTCAAAATGACTATTTGTGTTTAATAATATTCAATGTATTAGTTCTTGAGAGAGATTTAGCGTTATCTAAGATGACATAACTTCATTTATACGTATTATTTGACAAATGAAATCATGAGAACATCCAATATGATATAGAACAGATGTTTTCGTTTTCACAAGATACCAATGCTCTTGTAATTATAACATTTATCTAGTTAAGCATGGCTTTTACTTCAACTAATCTGACAGATTGGATTCGTTCCGATACTTATCACAATCGTTTTCTAATTCCTCCTAATGATGCTCTTACAGCTGCATTAAAATTGAACGAACAATATCGACTACCATCTTATGCAGTGAGTGAAGCTCAAGGTAAATTTTTGAATCTTGTGGCTAAAAGTATTCAAGCTCGTCGTATACTCGAAATAGGAACTCTTGGAGGGTATAATACATACATCCATCTTTCTATTTAAACCTCTGATCATTCATCTTTTGTGTTCTATCGCATAGATATTCTACAATATGGTTGGCTAACGCACTTCCTGACGATGGTGAACTGGTAACATGTGAGATTTCGAAAGATTTTGCTAAAGTAGAATTGTCTTACAGATTTATTTTTTATAATATGATTAAATATCAATTTGCTTTTAGGTTGCTCAAATAAATATTAATAACGCAGGATTGATGGACAAAGTAAAGATTATAGTTGGTCCAGCATCTGTAACACTTCCCAATATCAATCCAAATGCTAGTTTTGATCTTGCTTTTATTGATGCTGATAAACAATCAAATGTGGAATATTTTATTCAAGCCAAACGATTAGTGAGAAAAATGGGTGTTATTATTGTCGATAACGTAGTACGTAATGGACGAGTGGCTGATCCAGAACAAAATGATTCAAGTATAGAAGGTGTTCGTAAATTATTAGAATATATTCAAAAAGATCCAACAGTTGAAGCAACAACATTGGGAACTGTTGGAGAAAAAGGCTATGATGGATTTTTATATGCTATTAATAAATCCTCTATAAATTAGATTTCCATTTCAAGATAGATATAACATTGTTTGTGTGCATAGTTCCATAAAACATATAAGAAATGGTTAATTGAGTCGAATCTAAGATTGATTATGAAATAATGAACATTTCAATAAATCTCTAACATCGAATAGATTAAATTTACTTTGATTTAAAAAAAAATCATCATCAGTATTTTGATGAAATAAGTTTTTCAATATCAGTTGCAAGTACAATATAGGACATGAAGTAACTTCTTAACGATAATAACTAGTTTCATAGTAATATCGAATCATATGAAACTGTATGCTATTAAAGTTTTATCGATTAAAACTATGCCTAACAGCTTTGAAGTAGAGTTCTTCAGAAAAACTTTTTTCGAGTTCTGGATCTCATTTGTCTTCTTCCGTTTTATTTTTAAAATATTTCGCACGAGTCTACTTCGAAAAGTAAAAATAACTCTGAATTCTTCTATTGAATTAAAACATTACATATAATTGATCAAAATATTTATTCTTCTACCATGATGCTGACATGAATTGTATCTTTAGTATGTATTACTGGAAAACAGATAAGAGATGATTAATAGTATGCGTATCTTACAATTCGGTGGTGTTTACCAAGAATAAATTGTTCTTACATCGTTTCGACAATAATTTTGCTTAGAAAATGATAATTCGAATACTGTTATGATCAGGAAATTCAACATCACTAATTATTTATAATATCTGTTATTCTCCTTAAACACGTTTCTACAATAAAGACATTATATATAGAAAAATAAAATTGAGAAGATTATATAATTTTCTTTTCGAAAACAAGAAGACTAATTATTTGAATTCATGCGTTCATAGTCGAATAACATATTATATGATGAATTATGCTTCAGTGAGTATATATGGATGTTATAGGAAAATTTTTAGAACAATTGAAGAGTACAAAATGAAATAATCATCATTCAATAGCAACTATTCTTCACTGAACGTCTCATGTATATAAAAATTGCTTTACCAATCAATCTGAGCTTTTTACATGGACGAGAAACTTCACGTAGAAAACGAGATATTATTGACTTATGTCAAATACAGTCACTTCCGTATAAATCAATTCCGTGAAAAACAAAGTGATAGTATAAGGTTCGAATCTAGAGTTTGTTCGTAAGTAGTCAATTTTTGTTAGCAATTTGCATTTTGAAGATTTTCCACTAAAATGAATTGACAAAAACGTTTAAAGTAAATATTTTGAATCACTCAATGAAACTCTATCGAACAATGTACCATTTTACAATATCAAAATTCTGCTGGATTTTTGCCCCCTGAGCACCTTACGCTTTATTTACCTATAAATATAACAAGATGAAAGAAATCAATGTTATTGGTAAGGTATGTAAAAAATAATCAATTTTTTAATTTTTGAGACACAGCCGTTTTTCGTAGAAGATCATTAATTACTTCACAGTGAATTTCATGCTAAAGTCAACAAACAATAAAACTTTTCAAATTTTCTTTTAATTATTTTGTATTAATAAAGTAATTAGATGTCATAAAAGCCGAGTAAAAAACGACGTACTACTCTGACCATATTTTGTTCTTTCTTTTTTTTTTGTGATTTTCGTTTTTTTTCTTCTATATAAACGTACCTTGCTAAGAAGAAACAGTTAGTAACATTAAGAAGACTAAATCAAGTGCGAGCAACGTTACACGTGTAGTTTTCTTATCAATTTTGTCATACATTGTCTATCCGTTGTTATTTGTTTTTTTTCTTTTATTGTAAGTGTTATCAGTAGCATTGATGGCCGCTACAGCTATTCAACAAATACTTGAAATTCGAGATGCATCAATTCCCAAGGATAGTTTACTTGGAGATGCAATGCCTGATTCATCTGTCCTTGATGTGACGAATATTCCACGTCAGTGTGGTTTATTATCAAATGATGAAATTACTATTACTGAAAATTATACAGCTACTCAACTTGTTAATCTATTGGCTAAAGGTCAATTGACAGCTGAACAAGTCCTTAGAGCTTATTTAAAACGAGCTGGTATTGCTCATCAATTGACTAATTGTGCTACAGAGTTTTTTGGTGAAGAAGCAATCGATCGAGCTAAGTATCTGGATAAAGAATTTAAAAGACGAGGAGGACCCGTAGGTCCACTTCATGGTTTACCAATCTCTGTCAAAGATTTAATAACTATGCGTGGTCGACGGATCAATTCAGGATGGATAAAATGGATTAATAGAATAGGCGAAGATGATGCTCTCACTTTGAAGATTCTCTATGAAGCAGGTGCCATCTTCTATGTTCGTACTACTCAACCACAAGGTTTGATGCATCTAGAATGTAGCAGTCCAATCTATGGTACTACTGTTAACCCATTTAATCGAAATTTAACTAGTGGTGGAAGTACAGGTGGTGAAGGAGCTTTACTTGGCCTGAAAGGTAGTCCCATGGGAATCGGCACTGATATAGGTGGAAGTATACGTTCTCCAGCTGCTAACAATGGAATTTACGGATTAAAACCGACCACTTTTCGAATACCGAGGATGGGTGTTACAGGAGCGCAAATGGGAAAAGAAGGTATTATTGGTACAATGGGTCCACTTACTCGAGCAAGAGAAGACATTAATCTATTCATGAAAACGGTACTTGACACTATACCATGGCTAAGAGATCCATCTCTTGTGCCCATTCCTTGGAGATCGATTGCGTTGGATTCTAAAAATTTAACAGTGGCTGTCATGTGGGATGATGCTGTTGTACACCCTCATCCACCTATCACACGAGCTCTTCACGAAACTGTGGAACATTTGAAAAAATTTGGAATTCGAGTTATTGATTGGGAACCAATTGATCATCAAAAAGGTTGGGATATAATTAGTGCATTATATTATTGTAATGGAGGTGAAGAAGAACGAAATTTAATGAAAGAAGTAAACGAACAACCGCTACCATTAACAGAATGGATTCTTAATCAACCACAAGTAAAAAACAGAGACTGGATAGAAATGAATGAATTGATTGTGCAAAGAGAAAACTATCGTCAACGTTATGCACATATATGGAATGAACGAGAAGCTTCTCTGAATAGTTCTATCGATTGTCTTCTAACACCGGTCGGTCCATCAGCAGCTCCACAACATGGCACAGCTAAATGGTGGGGTTATACTTCTACATGGAATCTTCTTGACTATCCAGCTGCCGTTTTTCCCGTCACAACTGTTGATCTCGTCAAAGATCAAATTGAAATTGATTATAAACCGCGAAATACACTTGATGAAGAGAATTTTAAATTGTATAAATCAGCCCAATCATATGCTAATGCTCCTATTTCATTACAAGTTGTCTGTCGACGATACAATGATGAAAAAGTAATGAAATGTGTCGAAATCATTGAACGTGCAATGGGCAGAGAATAATTTGAAAAAAAGAAAAGATTTCAACCTCTTTTTAATATTAATTTATTGTTACAAGTTTTATCTGTAAATTTCAATTGATTCTTTTTTTTTTTATATGTATGGTTTTTTTCTATTAGCCAATTAATTAATTTGCATCATCAAAATAATAAGAAGAAATAAGTTAATTAAAAATTAGAAAACTAATTTTTATTTTTTTCGAAAGTCACTATGTAATGAATCAAATATGTACAGACATTTAATATTTTCAAAACATATCAGTTATCAACATTTCTCAGCTACACCAATTATTTTGTTTTATGTCAAATATTAGTCACTCGATCTACGCAAAAAAAAAGACGAGCATATTCAAGAGAAAGATAATGTCATTTTTCTGTTCTTTGCTAAGGTATTGCATGTATATATGTGTACATAAATAATATTATATTATCATCAGAACGAACTATTTTTTTCGTCTTTTTTTGTGCTTGACTTAGGTGAGTATGTTGACAATAGTTTATTAAAATAATAATCACCAAAGAGAACGATATTTGTTTATTGACATAGGACAGCACATTAAATTATGACTTACAATTCTGATAAAGAGAAAAGTTATATTTTTAAGAAATAGAACTGAAGTATTTCTTAACTGTACTGAAGGATATAGTTTACTAGCAAGGTATAATCTAAATCATACTTAAGTCTTAACTGACTTATTTTAATATACGCACTTGCATAATCGCTTTATATGCTTTTATAAATAGCACAATCCTATAGATATAGTAAGAGAAGAAAAGTAAGTAAATATGTATGTTACACGATGGCGTAGTTGGATTCTTTTCACAAATTAATTCTTTTTTTTTTCACTTTTATTGTCATAGATTGATGTGTCAACATATGCCATCTTTCACTATGTTCATACTTTGTTTCTTATCATTTGTGACTTTGTTCAATCGTTCAATTGGATTTTCACAGCGCCTTTTTGCTAGTGATTTTCGTGCACCAAATCCACCTAATTCAATTGTTGCCGAATATCAAGCTTCATATGTACAACATAAATGGGATGGAACAGGTATTTCACATATTGGAAGTGGAATGATATATGCTAGTCTCTCTCTGGGACGTCTTCGAATGGATATAACATATGGAGGTGTTATTTCAAGTTCACTTTTTGATTATGCGAATGCGAATAGTGATGGTACGATTCCAAACTATATGTAAGTCATTATTATACTAAATCGAAAGTAAAATAAAGAAAGTCTTTTTTAAATATTTTTCTAGGTATACATTTTCACCATCAACCGCTACGGCAGGATCATGTTCATATTATAATGTTACACCAGCTTATCCTTTATTTCCACCAAATATTCTTGTTGCATCTCAGGCTACTTTTGCTGGTTTGGTTACTGATAATCTTTTCTATGCTAATCAAGAACCATTACAAGCATGGGATATTTTATTTGGTGCAACAACAAGTGTTACAGCTTTTCTTGATAAGAACAATACCTTAGTACGGTAAGAATTTCTATTCAAAAGTAGACAAAAACGCTGTTCATATACTTATTTCTTTTTTTGTGTTTCAGAATGGATTTTTCATCACCATCGTTTAGTACGTTTACAACAACACGTCTATTCAATATTATTCCTGGTGCACCGGCTGCGAATCTTTTCTCAAATCCATGTCCGACTGGATCATCAACTCCAGCTCCGATTTCTTCAGGTGGAAGTCGAACTGTATAAATAAAATAAGAAGTACTGGGCTTACCATATTGACCTATGTAGGATTGATTTTATCGATGTATTATATTATCATTTTTTTCACAATTGAATATCTTGAATGAAAGTTTTTCTTTCTATATTTTCTTCATGTATTCGAATCATTTACAACATCTTCTCTTGAGTGATTAAAACTTATAATTTTTCTTTTTTTTTTGTTTTTTCTGATTATTAAAATACGACAAAAGATGCAGCAAAGCAACCAAGTTTATTGACTAATCCTATTTGATGTTAAACTTTAAATCGTTTGCGATTAGGATTTAGTTTTTATTTTTGATTGAAAAGCTTTAATTGTATGTTGAATTTATTCTATTTTATTTTATTGGATTCTCTGACAAACTGCTAGACCATTCGAAATATTTTTTTCTGTGAGTTTTCACACTTTCAAACCACTTGAATCCATCCGTAGAGAATATGAAGCGTTTTTCATACAGTATACTTGAAACATTTTATGATTACTTACATGTTTCTATTGGATTGATTTATCTTAATTCTAGTAGAAAACACAATATCTGATTGAATGTCATCAACGTATCGAGTTCTACATTGACTCGAATATTTTTACTGATAATTTCTAATAATTTCATCAAGCTATGTTGTAAACATGAAGTATTGTGTTCCTTAATACTAATAATGTTTTAGTTTATCTTCATCGAAATAAGAGTCCTGTGAAATGAGAATTTTTTTAATCGACATTGCGTCTCTTTTAATGATGAAATTTAATAAAAAAAAGACTGCTATAAGTACTTGTTATAGATATTTCATACATTGTCTTGTCATCAGTTAGATCAATCGACGTCTATTCGAAACGAGTTATGTGATAATGCTTTTATTCAATGTCACTTATGGTACCCAAATGCAATTTGTGTTCGTCGATTCTTGTTCATCGATAATACTTGCAGTACTTTAAAAGACGGATATTGATTTTTTCATATAAATAAACAAACATTATCTATTGAAAAAAAGTTAAAATTATCCATTCTTTAATTCGTCGAATAGAGTATTTTAATCAAATACGAACATTGTTCTAAAATAACAACTTCTGTATAAAAACTACAGTAGTATTTAGAACAACTAAATGAATTGAATTGTATACTAATTAGAATCATCGAGTTTTACGATTAATAACAATGTTAAATTAACGTTTTTACGTAAGTGAGTTTTTGATAATACAATACAGATACCGTTAATGTCATCATTAAATTGTAGAAAAACGAAATCAAATAATTACTAACAAAACAAGTGGAATTTGACTTTTATTCAAATGTAAAATATGGTCCAAAGCTTCGAAGGTCGATTATGGAAAAAAAACGACAGCTCATAAAAACAAATAATTTTTTCTAATAATTGATTAGGAAGCATGTTTCTTCAAAAGATATTTACATTTTATTGAAATTTAAGACATTTTCCTATCATTGTAAATGAAAAATGTTACGCTTCGATCAATTAGTAGATCAGATTTAGAAAGAAAGTCAAAAGTAACCATCACAAAATCGATTACTAAAAGAGAACTCTACTAACTGAGATTAAGATGTTTTTTATAAATACTATCAATGGATTGCTTAGTTTTTACACTGATCTATCATATATCTTCAACTGTATTCAAAACTGTTTTAGAAATAAGCAGAGAAAGCGGCTGCGAACTCTGGTTGGTATTTTTTAAGGACATTTTCATAAAATTTTAGGTACCATTAGAGTTTACTTTTCACCATACTTTCAACTATCAATTAGTCTATAACATTATCTAACTTTATGAATAACAGTTCGACAAGGAAATACTGAAGATGAAGAGTGTATAAAAGTTATTCTGATAGGTCTTTCTTCAGACTACATTTTCCTGTTAAAATCATTCATTTTAAATGCTATATCATTTTTTGTTGAGATGCTTCATTTCTTATTAGTGTAATTTTTCGTATTTACCATTCAATAGAAATTTCTAAGCTTTACAAAACTAACTATTTTAAAAAATCTTACAAAGTAAACGATTCAATAAAATGTTAAACTCCCTTTTCTTGAGACACAATATGTTTTTTTTTTTCGATGAAAATTTTATCTTTGAAATGGTATTTTAACAAGGTCAAAACTTACTTCCTGCTGCCCATATAAATATTTGAATTAAATTCTTTTTTTCGCATATCCATCAGGGAAGCCAGAAGTGAGAATTTCATCGAAAAAAAATGGTCACAAAAAGAACGTGGAACGTATACAAGTTATTTATCAGCCAAAAAAAGTCATATATTAGATCTAAAGAATAGTGAGTTAGATATTTTACGCGGTGATTCACTTTTTAACATTCTTGGAAATTTCTAGTTTTTTAGAGCTTGAAAAGTTCAATTGATTCCCAAGGACTACTTAAATGCTGTTCTTCGCACTGCGTTTATAACTTTAATTGACATATTGATTTCATTTATAGAATTCTAACAAGATGATTGAGCGAGGTAAGAGTAATAATATCAAAACGAATGATGCAATAAGATGATGTTGATACTGGTTTATTTGTATGTGAAACTTTCAATGAACGATAGTTTTGAATTAATACTTGAACAAAAATGAACTTTTAAGATAATAATGAATATAGTGAACAATAAATTGATTGCAAACAGATGAGAAGATAAACAGTGTAATCAATCAATTAAAAATACTAATTAAAGAAGAATATTGAACTCAACATTTTATTCTTTGTTTATCTATATCGTTCTCATGAATCAAATGATGATGTTGAAAATTAGAAAGATGACTGAGAATTTTCATCAGGATGATACTTACGAGGGATCGTTTTCCTGCTGATCAATTACTTTTTCATCAACAGCTAGTTGTTTATGGGCTATCAACAATGTTGATTTCAAAGACGACTATGATAAGTCACTTTAGATCTTCATATACTGATTTTTCAGGCTCACAAGACTCTTATCAAAACCGTTGTTGGTTTACTTAGATTATAGAGGATGTCGAGTTCTCTATGAGTCAATTATTACTTCTCTCTTCCAAAAATAATTTTTAGGTAAAATAATATCATTTTGAAAGTTTTCACGTTGAAATGTTGATATATGCATATCTATTGTATGCATTACAATGGATATATTTCCTGAAAAAAAGCGATTTGTAACAGAAAAATTTACTTCCTTTTCTAGGCAATCCGACAGATTCTATAATCTGGATGGAAGAAAAACAATATCTGGCGAAAAGTTTGTAAGTTAGCAAAACCTTTATATAAAGATCTTAAGGTATATTTCATTGTCATATTCGGA